GTTGCTCTTGTCCCCACTCTCATCAATATTGTTGTGTTGCTCCGCTCCCCCTTGTCCTCAAAGTTATTGGGTTGCTCCAGTCCCCCTTGGCATCAAAATGTTTGGGTTGCTCCGGTCCCCCTTGCCATCAAAATGTTTGGGTTGCTCTGGTTCCCCTTGTCATCAAAATGTTTAGGTTGCTCCGGTCCCCCTTGCCATCAAAATTGTTGGGTTGCTCTGGTTCCCCTTGTCATCAAAATGTTTGGGTTGCTTTGGTTCCCCTTGCCATCAAAATTGTTGGGTTGCTCTGGTTCCCCTTGTCATCAAAAATGTTGAGTTTCTCTGTTCTCCCTTGCCTAGAGTTTTAACATTGCACCTTTGTGTACTGCTCTGTGTGAGTTATATAAACTTGCTCTGTGTGAGTTATATAAACTTGCTCTGTGTGAGTTATATAAACTTGCTCTGTGTGAGTTATATAAACTTGCTGCTGTGAGTTATATAAACTTGCTCTGTGTGAGTTATATAAACTTGCTCTGTGTGAGTTATATAAACTTGCTCTGTGTGAGTTATATAAACTTGCTCTGTGTGAGTTATATAAACTATGTGCCAAACAAAAGTTATTTCACTCTTCCTCCAACAGATCTTTGTGGTAAGTTACAGATCAAACATTCAAAGTTAATGTTGTAAGAATTACAAATAAAATGATAGTGTCTGAAACTTACAATTCTTAAATAATTTAAGCAAAATATATTACCCTTTCAACATGTCTTTTGGCCGCAGAGTTAAAAATTTGTAATGTAATTTTTTTAAAGAAATACATTTTTAAGAAATTTTAACTAATTTTCTAATTCTGGTGTTTAAACTGGTCTTTGAGGAAAAGTGTTCTTAAAAAAGATTTTAAATAATTTTTTTATTTTCTACTTTTTATTATTTCAATCTCTAAGTTATGGAGAGGTGTAGAATTATTTACTTCCTTAAACATCGAATGCTCACAAAATCCCAGTTGAAATGACTTAACGCTTTACTCTGGGCATAAAACTCAAAAAAGTAGATCTGAGCTCATCCACCCTCCGGTGAAGCAAATGCAGTCAAACGAGTTACTTTGAGCGACAGTGTCAACCTGCCTCCGTCATCCCAGTTTCCAGCCGTTCACCAGGTGAACACTGCACGAGAAAATCTTAAAGTCATGCGTGTAAACAAAAAAAAAATAAAAGATCACGCTCAATCCACAAGATGGAAATGGAGTGAAAGAAACTCAATAATAAAAAGGAAAGTTTATTATTAAGTTACGTTAACTTACTGTGGTAACAACACTTGAAGAAAGGGAAAAAAAGAAGAAAAAAGCAGGCAAATTTATTTCAATTTATTTCAAGTCAATTAATTCACATCAACAATGTGAAAACATAGACAACTAGTCTTTACAAAACTTTAGGAAAGAAAAAAAACAAAAAACGAAACAGTTAAATGAGTGAGATATTCCTCTAAACCTTTATGAAAAAAGAAAGGTTTGTCATTTCTAAGTAACGATTGACTAAACAGAATATGTCAGGGAAACATTCAAAATAGATTAACATTTACAAATTATTTACAGATTTTTAAAAAATTTTCTTCTTTCATGATAAGGCCTTCCTTAAAAATGTATTTAAAAAAAAAAAGAAAATAATGTTTAAATCGTTACCATGACAACAACACAAAATGTTTTGAAAAGTTTATCATTGAAAATAAATAGAAATGGTTTTTAATATACAATTTTTGTACAACTACCGAGACAAGCAAAGCAAATGATGACATATTTTTATAATTTCCAAAAATATTTCATCCATGATATACACCATTAGAACAGGTGCAGTTAATCTTTGGCATACATTTTTTAATAAGTTTTACTTTTTTAACAAAATAAATGAAGTCAATCATCAACAGCCCTAACAAAAAAAAGTTAAGATTTAACTGACAACAGAATGGAAAAACACAACACATAATTTGTATTTTTGCTTGAGCGTCTTATTAAATTTAATTGGACATTTTTGTTGCAAAGTTTATGGAACCCTCTAGAACTAAATAAAAATTTAAAGATTCGGCATGATAACTTTGGCAACTTTTAGTTCATTCACTAGAGATTTCCTTAAATATTGGCACACACACACAAAAAAAAGAAGTTAACTTTGAATATAAGTGTGTGATTATGTTATTTAAATAATTTGGCTATAAAAAAACAACAACCTAATAATAAATGTATTTATTTGTGTTGATGAATGTTGCAGGTTAAAGTTAAAGGCACATGATTGTTTTGACCTTGACATTTACATGTCACCAGATAATTTGGTGGAAACCAATGATTTTACTGTCCAAGTCTTGGACACTTCACTAGCATGCTTACTAAGTTATAAAGGGAGCTGGACTGCTATAAAGCTGGCATTTCTTAACTCATTTATTTTACACAAGCTACATTTACAATACTTTTCATTTATTTTAATAATGAATAAAATAAAATATTTGATTCCAACTTCATTAGCACCTGATTTATTGGTGTATTCTAAAAACAAACCCATATTTAAAGAAATGTCAAACCAGACATGCTTAAAAACATGATAGCTATTTAAGCTTGCCTTTAAACAAATATATATCTGAATCTCATTTTACATTTCCTTTTTTTTTAAATTACATTTCCTGCTTGTGGTAACAATTATTTATTATCAAAACCTGGTGACTTTTTTCAAAAAAAGTTTCTTTACATCAATCATTTACACAGTGCTTGAATCAAGAACATTTCTATACATCAATTTTTTCCAGTCCCTGATTCTGTTATATGTTGAAACTTTGTTACATATTAAGACACATACTTTATATAAATATTAATTTATGCATAAGGGAGCATACATTGTATTAAAATATAAATAATACATGTAAACAATGACACAGCAAATGCCCAAGATTTATATAATATGTTGAAAACTACTAGCTGTTAAGTAATATCATAAGCTTATTGGGCATCTGAAACAATCAATCTATCACATCTATATTATTGGAGTTGTGAAACAATCATAACTGTATTATTAGGGTTGTGAAACTATCACATCTATATTTTAAATCTCTTTATGCCCTTCTGTTTCCACTGACCAGCTAAAAACTAGGAAATGGAAATCTCTGGCATGCTAAATTTTTATGGAGCATTCTGCTTTGAGCATCTAGATCCAAGCAACATTTTTCCGTGCAAATCTAGGTCAAAGCAATTTTCAGCTATGAATATCTAAATCAGCCTTTCTCAACGAGGGCCATATGGCCCCAGGGTGCCACAGCCTTCTCAACGAGGGCCATATGGCCCCAGGGTGCCACAGCCTTCTCAACGAGGGCCATATGGCCCCAGGGTGCCACAGCCTTCTCAACGAGGGCCATATGGCCCCAGGGTGCCACAGCATATTTCTTTGGGACCATTAAAACTTTGAATGAAAAAACAACAACTTTCTTTGTATAAAATGTGATGGTTTTTGTATGTTAATCCCAGGAAATGGGGCCAAGGGGGTAATTAGAGGTAATTAAAAAGGTTAAAAGGAGGCCTCGAGCAAAAAAAAGTCGAGAAACACTAATCTCGATTAAAGCATCAATCCTCGGCTCACGGTAAAAATGCCGATGGTACAGACGTCCGAAGTTTCTAATTTGGTTACGCAAATGTCTGAAGCAATATTAGAAAAACTGACTCCTCAGCTGCTTGAATGTTCGGTCCTTAATACAAGACAAGACATGGCACAGGAACCCGAGAGGTCAACATTTATATCACAAGTATAGCTCATTAATCGTGGGATTATTTCAACAGGAGATTTCAACTCATAACGGAGGAAAAGATACTCACACCAACAAACGGTCAAGTCAAATATTTACAGTGCACTATTCAAACATTGGCATTAAGACGTTTTCTGGGAACGTTCATATTTTTCCCTCCACTTAATAATATTCAAGGCTGAGTGCCAGATCTACAGAGTCCAGCATTTTTGTTGCTGTTATTGAAATCAAAATTGTTATACATATTCCAAAAAAAAAAATATCTAAGGGTGTGCTCATTAGCTTGGAACGTCACACATTCTTTTTCTCTGTTCAACAACACACACACACACCCCCAATATTTCTTATTATTTGAACACACTTAATTTAACGGCTCTTACTTGTAATAGTTCAATATGCCAACATTCAACTGAGGAGGGTCGAAGAAGTCAAGACTGTGGCTGAACATTGTAGGACTGCATGGAACCAGAGCGGACAAACCCTCTCTGTTTACTTAATCATGGAACGTAATGGTCAAGGAATACAATTGAAAAATGAGTTTGTTTAGTTACCGGTAATGGAACAAAATATCAAAGTAGACTAATCTTCAGTGGACTTCTGATTCAAAAATTTTTGGGTTGTAAATTCATGATTTTTTTTCACTGTGTAAACCCTGGTGGGAACAGATGTTAGGGCTGTTCTGTGAAGTGTTTGAGAATATTTTACTACACTGAGGAGATCTCAGCGTGTGGTTTTGTAACTGTCTCAATGACTAGCCAACCACAATTGCCACATGTCAGAGGCCAACCACAATTGCCACATGTCAGAGGCCAACCACAATTGCCACATGTCAGAGGCAGCTATATACATTTTAAAAAAAAAAAATGGAAAGAAGAAAATAATGATGAAAACAGCCGGGTAATAGAGAACGAAAGAATTCGTTGAATTTATACATTGTACATCCTCCTCTCCTCTCTCAAGGCGCGGCAAACACAACCCTTGGTGGTCATATCAGGCGCGGCAAACACAACCCTTGGTGGTCATATCACATATGAACACTTCAGAAAAAAATGTTCAGATGTATGTGACAGATAGATCATCACTGAATATATATTCTATCTAGTTTAGCTGTAACGATACTGGTAATAACCTATCTTTCGTTTGATAAGATGGTTGAATATAATATTTATATAAACTGTCAACTAGATATAAATCCACTAGGACATAATATTTCCTACATACAAGGTGTGGATATATATTTTAAGGAATATATTTGTTCTCTAAAATACAATTAAAAAGAATAATTAAAAAAAACTACAAAATCAACAACGTAACATAAAAATTTTGTTGCTTTTAGTCAAAATAAATTCCAACCTTTTTCTGGGTGGCTGATTTAATTATTTGTAAAATTATTCAAAACTCTCTTGATATTATAGGTAAATATAGGTAAAGAAGTATTGGCTACCCTATCAGTAAGAACATAGTTTTAAAAAAAATAAACTGGAAGATTTCTGAACAATTTTGCTTTTCTGTAAACGGGCAACAGAAACAAAATCAATAAACACACACACACACTACAATAAATACAAGGCCAATTATTATTACATGTCCAGTTTAAGAACTGTAAGCACTCAAATATTTGTCACCTCTTGAAATTTACATCAACCCTACAGACAACTCTTATGCTAACTTGTTTCCCTCCAGACAGTTAGCTCCCCTTCCTCCTTGAGTTTCCTCATGGCCTGTATGTACTTCTCTTCCAGAGGTTGCCTGAGTTCATTCTCACGTACTTTGCTGATGTCCTCTTGTATTTGCGGCCCGTTCCCATCAAACATTTTGGACAAAAAATCCTGCAGTCTCTCAATTTTCTCCGCTATTCGTCAAAATATAAAATATCCCAAAGGAATGTTATTGAGTTACCACAGTTAATTAACAACTTAAGTTTCATTAACAATAGCAACAAATAAATATCGATTATCATAAATTCATCGACAACAGCATTATTTTTCTTTGTACATTTGTTGTCGAGAGTAGAGAGAGAATAATGCATGGTGAGTGACGATATTTTATATTGCAACTTGTACATGACAAAATAGCCTAGTCGGATCTTGCCCGAGGCTCTGAAGCTATTATAATATTGGCTGACCATGAAATGATTAGCGATCCACCTGTGAAATGTGCCTTGTAAATAATGTGAGTTTTTTCAAATCGAGATCTAAAAGATCACTAATTAAGTCATTCTTGTCACCCAAGGGAGTTCATCAATAGATGATTTCTACGTTTGACAAATACTGCAGATGTCTCTTGTTTATGTGATGAACATGAATACGTAATTTTTAATTTAAAAATAAAATTTCCATTTATTTGGATCAATAAAAGAATCTTATTTTATTTATATGTTTAATCCTGTTTTATCTTTTTTGGCTGAGTTAAGAGATTCCCTTTTTTTAAAATCTATAATTTCTTGCGATTTGCCCTACTCTCTAAAAAAAAAATATGTCATAATGAAGGAATGGAAACGAGCTTGTTATTTGTCAAAATTGTAATTTAACAAAAATTGACAGACTGACCACTAAGATCTTTTTCCAAGAACTGACACCACTTTTCCCTGACTTCCTCCACAGCTGCCTCGTCTTCTTGAATTTCGGAGGCAGCGACATGTGACAAGGATGGCAAGATTTGATTACTCATCACTGTTAGGGCATCTGTCATGTCATCTTCACACTCAAAGCTTTTCAAAGTTGCCTGATTCAATTTCTGAAGAGAACGACAAAATTACAGAGTAAGAGGAAAAAAAAAATAACTGTACATAAGCATAGTGAATAAAATTATGCCCATAAATACCAATGCACTGGAAAGATACAACATATTTTTTCCGCCAAACTACCGTTACAAATATCAAACTTGTGAAATGAGACTAATCTGGACAAAGTAATCTATTGCCAAGTGGGAATAGTCAAAGTAAGTACACAAGCTGTTACAAAGGCAATTATGAATAGCATTATGAAGATTAGCTTTATAAATAATGTCAAGGATGCAGTTGAACATTGCTTTTGGATCTATGACGATTTGCCACCTGGTCATTTCATCGGCTTGGATAAAAAGTTATTTAAAGGAAAAAAGTGATTATTTAATTAAACAGGTGATCATAAAATTGTTGCATTTTTAAGAAAATCAAAATATATAAATGTTTGTTTTAATGGTTTTGCCTGTCTGTTGTTTTGTTAGTAGCACAAAAGCGCTGATGTGGATATATTGAGATGGCCTAAACGTCTTAAATTTTAAATTGATATTTTTTAGCACTTTAAAAAGGATGCTCGACAAAGGCACCCCCTTCAGATAAAAGCCCTCCTCCAAAAAAAGTCCCCTGGCCACAAGCGCTTAGACTCAAATTTGCAAGGTTAAATAATTTTTTTCAATGTTTTTCTTTTTAAACTGTAGCAAGAATTTTAAGTGAAAAATTGAGTTAAGGGGGTATTTTGTGAATGAATGACATGAGCAACGATCCCCTGACCGCTTATCTTCATAATCCACTAACACAATTTTGTGTTGAAAAATAACCTAACTTGTGTTACAAAACTCTTGAATATACAGGGTGGGCCGGTACACATTCTCTATATTTTGCAAAACGATTGATACATACAGGAGACTGCAACTGCGACACATTTCCAATTGCACAGAGATTGACTGATTTTATGTGGCCTCTCTAGTATATGAAAGACTATGTAAATTATAATTCTATTTGAACTAAATTTCATGTATACGTTCTTGAATTTTCAACATTGTTTTCATCACCTGTAAATTTTCAATAATTTGTATTCTTTGGCAGCGTCAAACTGTCACATCCCCTTGTTTTCTACATACAATTTTAAGTCAGGGAAGTGTTCGAGTCTCCAGCCAAAGTGATAAATCAAACACTCCACTAAAACTTTTAACAATGTCTGCCATGGGGAGGCAATTCTAGCTCCTTATACGTTACCAGAATGTTGTAAATGAGGGAATTATTTTGTCTTTCAATTAAATCTTACCTTCATTTACACCAATAGTGTCTTACAAATACATCTGCCAAGAAATAAGAAAGATTCAATAAACTAACAACAAAGTAAAATATGATTGTCTAAAATACCTGCAGACTTTTACGCCTAAAATAAGACAGCATCTTTGTGTTGATTCCCGCTTCATCTATCATCATTTCTTTGGTTAGTCCAGGCTCCCAATTGTGAAGCCACGCCTGCTTGAAGTACGGCAATGCTTCCTGGTATCTGAAATACATTAAACATAGCATTTAATAAAGCTTCTCCGGGGACCTTGACCTCCGATAACATTCCAAGTTGTCACAGCGATACTTCCTTGAAGTAAGTAGTAACCTGCAGTCAGGTCACATACCTGTGTTTTTGACAGTGTTGTCATGTATGGTAGTGATACTTCATTAACACGTCATCTTATAATTACCACTAACAACTGGCCAAACACATGGCCTCAAGAATTTCTTTATCTTGCCTCTATCTTCGTGGCGTACGACATTTTTTGTTGTTGATGTAATCAATTACTTATATTTGACAGAGAGGTCCGTACCTTGCTGAGCAGTAAGCCTCCATGGCCTTGGTGAACATGAAGATGGCCTGCCTGTAATGGTGGTACCGCTTGTGCCAGAACTAGAAAGAACATCAACATGGCAACATTAACATTGCTTGTTCAAGTGCTACAAAAACAACATGAAACAAGCAAGCTACTTCAGTAGGGATCACAAGATCTTTTCAAACGCTAGATTTTCTCAAACGGCCCTACACACAATGATTATAGAGTGCCTTACTAAAATGGCTTCATAGAGTGCCTTACTAAAATGGCTTCATAGAGTGCCTTACTAAAATGGCTTCATAGAGTGCCTTACTAAAATGGCTTCATAGAGTGCCTTACTAAAATGGCTTCATAGAGTGTCTTGCTATGGCTTCATAAAGTGCCTTACTAAAATGGCTTCATAAAGTGCCTTACTAAAATGGCTTCATAGAGTGCCTTACTAAAATGGCTTCATAGAGTGCCTTACTAAAATGGCTTCATAAAGTGCTTTACTAAAATGGCTTCATAAAGTGCCTTACTAAAATGGCTTCATAGAGTGCCTTACTAAAATGGCTTCATAGAGTGCCTTACTAAAATGGCTTCATAGAGTGCCTTTCTAAAATGGCTTCATAGAGTGCCTTACTAAAATGGCTTCATAGAGTGCCTTACTAAAATGGCTTCATAGAGTGCCTTGCTATGGCTTTACAGAGTGCTTTACTCTCACTTCATAGATTGCCTTACCATGGCTTCATAGATTGCCTTACTTTGGATTCATAGATTGCCTTACTTTGGCTTCACAGAGTGCCTTTTTTAAGAATGTCATCGCATAGAAATCCATCCATCCATATCTTAAGACCTAGAAACTCACTTCATAATGCTTAATGCCGTCAATACCAGTTGAAATTTCGTCTAATGTGCCTGTTGCCTGAGACCCATTCCACCCACCCACCCATCCATCCACCCACCCACCCATCCACCCATATCTTCGAACCTTAAAAAAAACTCACCTCATAATGCTTAATGCCATCAATACCAGCTGAGTTGTACAACTTCTTGTAAATCTCATGTGCCTGTTGCCTGAGACCCTTGACCCTGAGACAAGTTCAAGAAAGCAACATTCATGTCCAAGTATATTCAAGTTAACACTTAGCTTCTCAGAGGATAATAAAATGTTAAGACCATAACTTATTATTTGATTATTAGAGCTTGCTATAATTTTTAAACCTTATGTATTTAACATCTTGAATTTTTTACAATTTGTTAGTAAATCAAAGATATTTTAAATCAAAGTATTATGTTTAAAATAAGTACAAACTGTTATGAAAAATGAGAGTTGTTTTGAACATTCTAAAAATAGCTTTTTACAGCCACATTGGGGCCTATAAAAGGTCAATCTCACTGTGCTGTGCAGAACAGCTGGGAATGGATTATCTGAATGGTTTGGCTAGACATTTTCTGTTATGGCTTCATTCTGAACAATGAACAGATTGGCTATAAGTTTTCTGTTATGGCTTTATTCTGAACAATGAAAAGATTGGCTATACATTTTCTGTTATGGCTTTATTTTAAACAATGAAAAGATTGGCTATACATTTTCTGTTATGGCTTTATTCTGAACAATGAAAAGATTGGCTATACATTTTCTGTTATGGCTTTATTCTGAACAATGAAAAGATTGGCTATACATTTTCTGTTATGGCTTTATTTTAAACACTGAACAGAATGGCTATACATTTTCTGTTATGGCTTTATTTTAAACACTGAACAGAATGGCTATACATTTTCTGTTATGGCTTTATTTTAAACACTGAACAGAATGGCTATACATTTTCTGTTATGGTTTTATTCTGTATCTGATGTCAGCTTAATTCAACTCACTTGTTTGTGTCGAGCAAAGCACAGAGGGCAAATTGTTCACTCAAGATAACTCTGACAGTGTGGTCATCAGCCTGGCTACACAGCAGGTAGAGAACAATGTGCCTTAACCTTGGATCCTCGGAGGGAAGTGCGTTGTGGAAAAGCTTTGACATTCCCTTGAGTCGCATCAACTCACTTTCCATGGCCTACACATGAATACATTTTAGAGAACTGTAACAACAAAATTATTTCTTATGCAATATTTTCATAACTGGAAGTAATGCTCATCAATTAATGTGTGTGAAATCTGACTTCTTCTTTTGTCTACTTCTACCAGGGAGGCATCCAGGGAAAGTAATGTTTGTGAGATGCCTGCAAGGTGTGAGGCCTGTTGAAGATTCATGGTAGTGGGCCTTTAGTGTGTCCTTTAGAACGACCCTTACACTGTCGATCCACTGCCCCCTTAAAAGACCCGGCTATTGTAAGCTTGTAATGCAGACTGTCTGAATAACATTCTGACCAGTTGGCTAAACCACTTAATTGATGTGTGTGAGATAGGAATGCTGTATAGTTTGTTTTATTTTGATAAAAGTGTTTTTTCCAGGTAATCTCCCTCTATTCATTAACTGTTCAGCTGTATAACCCCTTTGTGTGCTGTCATGGTCGATTATACGGCCGATATGATCAGCCACTGCCAAAATTGTGATTTAAAATGCGAATGACTTAATGAATATTGGTTATGGGGAAGTCACTCTATATCAATGAGTTTACTTCCTTTTTTCTTTTCTATCTGTGTGTTAACATGCTCTTGTTAAGCATTTTTTAAAAAAAATTAAACGGGTGTGAATTTTTCTAAAAAATTTTTTATACCTTAATAATGACTGATGCTGGAAAGGTTACTAACCCCCCCCCCCCCCCTTTTTTTCGCAAAATCAACTTACAATTTCTTAATTGGAATTATTTCAAATGAATTAAAATGAAAAGAATGATTTCAGAGATATTCCACTAGTAATGACAGTATTAGCTCTAGCAGTGATGGCAACACCAGAGTCAAGTATTGACAAGCTTAGCCCTAAGCTTAGTGCTATTTAACTTACAGACAAATCCTTTAGGAAAGGGTGGAAATTGAGTAGAAAAGGCTAAGATGGGATCCCCAAGACATTTATGTTTTGTGTATGTTCTTTAGTATTAATTAATAAAAATGAATTTAATTACTTCAATTGAAAAGCAATTTTTGAACTCATTTCATGCCTTCCCCCTTGTATTTTGTATGATACAAATTAATTTTAAGGTAGTGAATGAAAAAAAATTCACCAATATTACAATTTTCAATACAAGTACCTATATCTTGAAATTTTATGAAAGAATATTGCTTCAAGTATTTAAAAAATGTGACTTTATGATAGTTTGAATAATTTATCGAGTATTAGGTTGGGTTGAATTCAGAAGTTGAGTAGTAAAATTTTACTCACTCTGTAAAGGTTAAGATACTTTCAGAAAATGTCTACTTGTAAGGGTCTCTGAATTCATTTAGTATTGGATTTTGTCATTTTTGACAAGCATATGAAAATGCTAAAAAATGGCTTGACACTACAGAAAAATTCACTTGCAGTTACAGGGTTAAAGAGCTCTCCCTTTGATGACTTCATATATAACTTTGTAGCGACCATTTAATTGTAGTGACCATTACTTTTATGTTAACCTGGAAGAGTTTAGTGACTATAAGACACACTTTTTTCTTTGAAAAATTGCCTAAAAAAATTCAGGTGCGCCTTATACTTGAAATTAAGACAAAACTGGTAAAAATGTTATTTCTATTAAAAAAAAATTGCTTAAAAATTAAGGTGCGTCTTATAGTCCTTAGGCTCTTATAGTCCTTAGGCTCTTATAGTCCTTAGGCTCTTATAGTCCTTAGGCTCTTATAGTCCGTAAAACATGGTATGTATAAGAAGGAATTTTAATCAGCATGGGTGAGACTAAAAAGTAGACATTTACCTTTTTCACTATGTCACACGGCTTGTTACCGACAGAGCTGCAGATGTTCACAGCCTGCAAAGTCTCACTGAAAGACTGTTGGGCGTGTTGGTCTGCCAAGCGGGCTAATGCTGAATTCATCGGCCTGATGATTGTGGCCTCCCCTGGTTCACATTTAAGTTACATTCAATCTTTATGGTGACAATTTCTTGTAGTTTTTTGAAAAATGTCTGTTAATCTTTATTTTGACAATGACAAGTATTTTTTTAAAATGTCTTTAATTCTTTATGGTGACGATTACTAGTAGATTATTTTCTTAAAACTTTTTGGTAACAATTACTAGTGAATTTTAAAAATGTCTTTAAAATTAAATTTTAGCAAAACTTACCATGAGAAGAGGAGGAAACGCTCTTATTAATAATGAAAAAGATTAATTTTATAAAAATACTGGCGTGAGAATAATACCAATTTGGCACAGTTGGAAAACTGCATTGCAAACATCTTACAGATTCTCATAAATTAAATAAATTTAGTTTTCAGTTGAATTTTGAAAAGAAAAAAAAAAACTAGTAACATAAGCTAATTGTGACAATCCAACATGTCAGCTAATTGTGACAATCCAACATGTCAGCTAATTGTGACAATCCAACATGTCAGCTAATTGTGACAATCCAACATGTCAGCTAATTGCGACAATCCAACATGTCAGCTAATTGCGACAATCCAAAAGGCTACCTAATTGTGAAAATCCAATTCTTAACTACCTGGCCGCTGTTCTCCTGTTACAACAACATCCTGGTCATCTGACCCTGACCTAGTCTGGCATTGACCTTCACCTCTACCGTCATTCCATCTGTGGTCAGCACTTTTCCACTGGGCGGACGATGGAGGTGACGCCACAGAGGCTGACGTGGACGGGGTCATGGTAGATGCTGATACCGTAGAGACTGTGGTGGTGGCAGCTGCGGACAAGGCGGCAAGCGACTTTCTCCTCTGCTCCTCATCCCATGCCTGGAGCTCCTGCTGGAAGATGGCATTGTCCTCTTCAACAATGGCCCGCAGATCTGGATCAAGTGAGGCTAACATGTCAGTTGTATTTTTAGCACTGGTGTTTGAATCTCCTGGGGAAAAAGATAAAAAAAAATTTAAAATTTTAATAAAGTTTGAACTGGCTAGTTTTTATCAATTTTCATCATTTATATCATACTTCAATGGTAGCCTGCCGACACCTCTCAGTCAATTTAAATGGCCATCATTCAAAAACCTATCCATCTATAACCTTAATGGCCTTAAATTACACATGCTTTGCTGCCGACCAATTTCAGGCAACTACAAAAAACTCAAGAATGTCTACAGTATGTGCAATACAATCAAAACAAATCACCATTTATTTGGATCAATAAAAACATCTTATCTCATATTTAAATCACCAAATATTATCACCTGCCCAATCAAATTATATCTATACTTTTTCTGGCCCAATCAATGAGATCCTTTTCTTGTTCCATCATTACGCAAACTTTCTCTATCACTTGCAAATATCTTTCTTTATCCGTAAGGCAAACTTCCTTACTAATTACTATTTTTATTAAGCCATCTAAAACTTAATAATGATGCATTCCCTCAATATTGCCCCACTAAGTACTTACCTTGGCCCATTGCTAGCCTGGATCTCTCCACTTACATCAGACAGTACTTACCTTGGCCCATTTCTAGCCTGGATCTATCCACGTACATCAGACAGTAGGCGCTGGCATTGTGGAAGCCTCCAACACTTTCCTTTCTCATCTCCTCTAGAGAAGATTCAGACACGGTGATGTCATTGAACTTGAGCCACTTGGAGCGCCGGTCATCGTAAATGAAAGACCAGTAGTGTCCGGACACCGCCTGTCCCTCGTGCACAAGCACGGCATGCAGGTGGTAGGGAAACTTGGGAGGATACAAGAAATGGGACCAATTAATCAAAGAGAGAAAATAACAAGAGAACTATTCACACTTTTTGTTATTCTGCATAGGTCATGCTATTGGCACAACCGTTTGTTGCCACTCATGTAAATGACTGCTACATTTGTTAACACAGGAGATACGATAGTTATAAAATGTGTAAATACTTGTTTATGTCTATATTACTGCTGGGCATAATCTGATTCGGCATAAAAAATGTGGCCTCTAAGTTGAATGGTCACATTGATGTTGCACCCTCAAATGATAGAAAAATAGTGTCCCATTTTTGGTGTTTTAATATAGACTTCTTCATCTAGTGTAATTCTGATGTCTGGATTTCCACAGATTGAGGGTTTACACCAATGGGAGCAAGATTATAACAAGGGGATTGGTAACAAAGGGGTAGTAATTGTAACTGTCCATGTTGTTCAGGGGAATGAACTAAAATGAAAAATGCTGTCCTATTAGATTGAAAGCTAACTAGTAAAAAAGAGGCCAGGGATATAGGAAGGGCTCAAATTTGAATTAATGTACATTTAAAATGGTATTCCAAAAAAATCTATTTTCGCAACTCACCTTTTTCATGTAGTCTTCTGAGTACATTCCATCAAGCTTTTCTTCCAGCCCAGCAATGTTCTTCTGAAGTTCTGGATATTGATATGTACATGTTGTAAATTACCAGGGTAAATTTTAAAAGATGGCTTCGTCTATTTCTAGCGATATGAAATACATGGCAATAATTTAAAATAACAAGGGATTGCTTATATCAAATAAATAATTTTTAATAAAATACAATGCATATGGAATTTACTATTTTGAGGGTTCCATCGTTCAGGTACAGGTATTAACAGAATCCACTATAATGTTTGTTCTATGTGACATTGTTCTGGTCAATCTACTATACTTTTGTTCTATTATGTGACATGGTTCAGCTCCAGATGTTAACTTGTATAACATAATCGACTATACTTTTGTTCAATGTGACATTGTTCTGGTCCAGATGTTAACTTGTATAACATAATCGACTATACTTTTGTTCTATGTGACATTGTTCTGGTCCAGATGTCAACTTGTATAACATAATCGACTATACTTTTGTTCTATGTGACATCGTTCTGGTCCAAATGTTAACTTGCTTAACAATATCAACTATACTTTTGGACATTGTAACATTGTTCTGGTCCAGATGTTAACTTGTATAACAATATCCACTATACTTTTGGTCTATGTGACATCGTTCTTGTCCAGAACAAAATCCACTATACTTTTTTTTCTAATTGACCACAAACAATTTCTTGTGTGTAGTGTGTAAGAGTACAAACCTCTGACATCAAGTTCCACTTCCTCTCTCCATCGTCTCAGACAGTCCTGGAGTACCCTCAGTTCTTCTGTACTAACACTTCGGGGGTGTGGATCTAACGATGTTGAGGTGCCGTGAAAGTCGGTCGAACAACCTGGGACGGGCTGAGACGGGGAAAATGTCAGCATGGATACAAATGTGGGCTGGGCGGCGGATGCCGGAGACTGCATCATGATGGAGGAGGGCATCAACGTGGCATCAAACTCGACCTGGACAGAAGAGTCTTTAAATTTCTTGGCCTCTGGAACTGGCGAGGAGGACAGCGAGGAAGAAGTGGTTTTGGCCTGGATACTCCGCTCTTTGCTGGAGGTGAAAGATGTTGTGGGGGTTGTAGAATGTTCAGCAGTGGTTGGGGACTTAATGACCGAGGGCGATGCAGTCAGGTGGTGTGTTATCAAATCAGTGGCACTTACGAATTCTGATGTTGGAGTCATAGACACATCACTTGAATTTCTGAAATTTAGAAAAAAATAAATCATAAAGAGAAGTATGAGTGAAAACTGGCACATGTAGCTTATAATTATTATATCAAGGTTTTGACTACAATTTAGTACAATGAAAACATTTAAAATGCACAATTTGGGCAAACAGCCAAGCTGCAAAATTAGTATTACTCTTGTAATTAACATTATAATTGTTTAGTTACAATGCTAATATATGTCTAGTTACAACACTAAAGTGCGTCTAGTTCAGGGGTTCTTAACCTTTTTTGCAGTGCCCCTGGTCAAGAAGCCCTGGGATAGTTACTTTCCTATGATATGCCAAAATCAACACTGTATCAGTCTAGCAATCCCCCAGAGATTGTCTTATGTTGTTAAGTAGTAGTAATATTTTTCTGCTTTGAAACATCACTACTTACTTTCTCACACAAAAATTAAAATGAACCATTCCAAAACATTTTTTGTGTGCTCACTTTGAGTTTACATTTAAATAAAAATAAAGGAAATGTCAGTAACCTGGAACATGGCACGGGTGATTCCATTTCAACATCAAGGGAATGCTGAGGTGCGCACTCTGTGAGCCCCTGGTTTGGAGTGCTTTCAGCAAACTCTAGTGCATATTGGAGCACATCTGGAAGTGGATATCTCTTGGTGCTTGACCCGTAGTTCATGAACCTTTTCAGCAAACATGAACAGAAGTATTAATTTCTTTCTGCTTTGCCACACACAAAAAAAATAGTCCCTTGTGAAAATTACTCTTATACTTAGTAATGGACATAAAATTTAAATTAAAACAATGATCTCTCGGGCTTAAGAAGCTACAGTTTCTACATTGAATGTGTTTAAAGGTGACAGCAGAATTTCTTTAAAGAAGTCGTTGATCACTTTGATAAATTCGTACTCAACGTGCAAAGTGATCCAGTGGCATACGACTAAAAGTGATAGACCCAAGGAAGTTCTCATTTAACACTACTCACTTGTCCAGTCTGGCCTGCAGGCTGCCGAGTTCATCTTTTAACTTCCTCGCCTCTTCTCTCTTTTGTCTCGTAATACTTTTATTACACTCGAGATATCTGGTTGGGAGAGACAGAAAAAAAATATAAGGCTTTCGAAAGTCACGCATCCAATATTGGACAACAAAATAGATCAGGTCTTGTGGGAAATAAAAGATTTGTATGAGTATTAAACTACAGTGTGAAAAATGTGTTTACTGCGGTAAAGGATGCACTTATGAAGCCTTGTGGTAACCTAACCGTAACAATCACTGGCCACTGGTCATGTTACTTTGTATGGTGTAATTCTGACCAGCCTTACCTATCTACATATATCACAGCCGGAAAAGTGAGTTCCTGGTGAATCTTCTCTGCCCGATTCAACTGTTGGTTGAAGCCAAACCTGGACAGCTCAAAGGTCAACACAACGGGTAAGTGAGTGAACCAGATCTGGAGCAGGTGAGACAAATATTTAAAAAATGACCCAGCTGTTCCGCAAAAGTGTGAACATTCAAGATATTGATGAGCCACTTGTACAAGAGCAATTACAATGAGTTAAAAATAGCAATAAAAGTGCTCTCATGCACAAAGTGTTGGACTGTAAACAATTTCAAACCTCTTGACCAGATTTCTGACTCGAGTCTCCGTCGATAGTTTCAATCTCACCCTGGGCTGTGGTGGCCTCGAGACTTTCATGGATGTCTTGAAAGCCAACGACGTTGAGAGGATACTGGCCGAAGGTGACTTCCTGGGAGAATGGTTTTCCTGTTTCAAAATGAGAGAGTCGATTAAATCTGTCCAATGAATTATATAAACACACAAAAATAAATATATTATTTTTAAATGAACAAAGCAATTGACTACAGAAGTTACTTTTCATAAGATTAAAACTATATTCATAATCAGACCTGTTTACTCTTATGATTTTGGCGTACAATGTACGATTTTGAGGTTATACATTACATATAGTGCAAGTTTTTTTTTTCTATAAAGAGAATGTAGTGAACGATTATGTGATGATATTGTAGGATTTTAAGAGTTTGAGGGTAAACAGGTCTGCATAACTGACATTGACGTCTTTAAAATGAATTCCTAAATAAATTCTGGACGTACCCTCATGAAATCCTTCAGCTTTGTACTTGCCCTGGAACATTTGATGGACAGGATTCTCACCACTAAGGAAACCAACAATAGAGAATATATTTATAAAGAAAGCCTGTGTGTGTTTTCTTTTCTTGAATTAATTTTTTTTTTTCATGTTCAGGTCAATAAATGTTTTTTTGTTTTTTTTAATGAGATTACAATGCTCTAAAATATTGAAATGGGTGCTTCATTTGTTTAACTTGAATTTCAAAATGTAAATATTTGGATTTACATAGTACAACAATTTTTTTTTTAAAAATTTAAAATATTTTGTTAAAATTAATAGTGACTATTTCTTGTATCGGTCTGGGGGATTAATCCTGTCAAATCCAATTGGGCAATTCTAAGTACAAGTTTCATGACAATGTGAAAATATGTCTTTATATTACATTGTCTGACAAAATGAATTTTGTTTACATTGATAATAATGGTTATCATTACAATTTCTGACAATCAGGTCCATCACATTGTCTGATGATAAAGCTAACCTTTATATTGTCTGACAATATGGCTTATAATTACATTGTCTGAAAAAAAGGTTTCCTTTACATTGACTGAAAAAAGAACTTACCCTTACAAATTTCTGACAATAGAGCTTACAATTACATTTTATCACAATAGAACTCACCATTACATTGTCAGACAATATGGCTTATAAGTGCATTCATTGACAAATATGGCTTACTATTATACTGTCTGACAATAAAGCTTATAAATTAAATTTTCTGACAATATGGCTTACAATGACATTGTCTGACATGTGGCTGACCCTTGGATTGTCTGACTTACCATTGAGATGAAGGAGCATTGAAGGCATCTTCCAGCCAGTCCAGCAGCTTATGCTGAAACTCACTCACATCCTGGGCAGCCCAAATATATGTGGACATAGAAGAAAACTTGTGAGGGGGTCATCTGATCTAAAAAATAATGACTGAAATACTTTTGACACACCATTCAAGTTAATAAACAAATATATGTTCCGTCCCAGAGAGAATCAGTGGCCATGCAAAAATGATTTAATCCTATTGGATTTGATGGATTGAATTATTAATCCTTTAGTTAGTAAAAAAAAATCAATTTTTATTATCAAAATCTTGTGACACATCTTTGAACCCGTGAAAACAGCTCGACAGATCCATTTATTCTAAACATGATTTAAATTGGTACAGGCTGAAGGTAGAGAACTGACCTGCTGGCCATCCAAGACTGTTGTAGCTGAAGCTTCTTTAAGGATGTCCACCGACTTACTAGGGTCGACATATTTTCTCTTAGAGCCCACCATGAGGGCAAACAGCTGCCGCAGCTCTGTCACAAACCGAAGATTGCGACTAATCTGAAATATAAAAAAGGATTAATTATTATTATTATTACATTGGTCTTATATAGCAAGTTACCCCAGCCTAGGGCTGGGCTGACAACGTTTACATAAAATTTTGGCAATAATAAACATGACATTAAAACAGTTACATACATTTATTTAATTTAAAAGTAAAAGTATAGCATTACAAGAAAGTGCATGAACATTCAACAAAAAATGTACAAACTTTTTTGAAACGCAAACATGCATTTATTTTAGTCTCTACGTATAATTTAATGAATTTTGTCGTACCTCATTTTCAGATAGTTGTCTCTGTTGATAATGAAGAACGATATCTCGAAATTTTCTGATGTGAAATAAAGACTGAAAATAAGGAAAAGAACAAAATATTATCAAAGCAATCAAACTACACAAAAACTAAACCCTTACAAAATCCTATACTTGTATAGACTAAGACATGTACCTGAGGTATTGCTGATGGCAGTCACTGGATGAGCTCCCATCTGTTGAAGCAACAGGTCATGGAGGAGGTGCTCCAAGTAATGTAGCAATATTTAATTTTTAAAAAAAATCCAAGCAGGGCCTAGCCAAACTCATTTCTCTAGGCACTGCTGTTTCGATATTGCTTTAAACACAACAAAAATCTCTTAAGAGTTTTTTTTTTTATCTCCCCCAAATGCTTTAACGGCTAAATGCCATTTTTAAAATGTTGCAGACTTGATTTTAAAATCAGAAACAACACGGCTTAAAAAATTCTGAATCTTTTGTAATGTCCGCTGAATGACTTCCAAGTTAAAAAATGATATCAACCTACAACAGCCTCAAGACGGGCAAGTTGGTTTTAACTTAGAAGAGCACGGCCGACCAAGGAATTTATTCATACCAATTTTTTTATCATCGGTCCTACAATAAAACATTTAGATGTAAGCTCATTAAGCATATAAAAAAAATAATGTTCAAGTCAATAACTTAGCGTCAGGTAAAATGAAGCAAATAGTGAAACAAGAGATGGTTAGGCTTGAAATGAAAAGAAAGGACAATTAAAAGCAATGACCCGATTAAAATAGTATCCTTAAAATGAAGCACGCGGACCTGGATGACAGCACTGAACCAGCAAGTGTTTCCAACGTTTTTGAGTCCGACCGGCCACCCCTCCTGGCGTCTCCGCTCGTAGGGGTTCAGGGGATCGATAAACCAGAGTTCTCCCCGCTTTCTTTTAGTGCTGCCTTTACTCTCTGCCAGACTTGCTTCCAACACTCTGTAACAAAAAAAAAAAAAAAAATGGGTTCAGGGGATCGATAAACCAGAGTTCTCCCCGCTTTCTTTTAGTGCTGCCTTTACTCTCTGCCAGACTTGCTTCCAACACTCTGTAACAAAAAAAAAAAAAAACATATTCATCTTGATTAATTCATCCAAAAATAATTTTACTTAAATTTTGTTTTAGGACAATTTTTCTATGAGTCATAGAAATATTCTCATAAAACAAAGTATGGTATGAATATCACCACGTTTTAAGCATTGATGTAAGGGTAAGTTTCAGTCAAATTCCTTTTAGCTGTAGCACAATATATTTGAAAATATTCAACAGCATAATATTCTATTAACACTCAACAAAGTCTCCAAATTTAATGAGATTCACAAGGCACATTTTAGGGGACTTAAATGTTTTAAAATTGCAGCTTCATAAATTTTCCAGCTATACCAAGATTCAATCAGTTTTAACTTAAAATTGAGGCATATTACCAGGGGATGATGTCATAACAAAAGATTACATCTTTACTCAAAGAACATAGATAATATTCTTTTATTGATCAAAATAAATGGAAATGTTTTTTTTTGTAACATTGTACATAATTCATTTCCAGCATATAAATAAAGACATATTGTAAACAAGACAACATTTAATAATTAGAGCAAGATAAATAAAAGACATTTAAAGTATTTCTCCAGCGTAAAAATCAGCCATCACATACAAGAGAAAAATAGTGAACTCTCTTAGTGAGAATAATGACTTAATTAGTGATCACTTAAATTTAGTAAACACTAGGGGAGCACACTGGTAAATTCTTACAGACTGAGGAACAAAAGAATTTTTATACCTTTGGTCCTAAATTTAAGGGGAAGAATTCACCCTGATCGAGCTGAAGTTAGGTATCTGTTGCAGTTTTCTTCCAATAATTCTTTAAGTGAAGGATGTGTTTTTGTGATATTACTAGATTTCTTAACATGTTTTTTTCCCCTCATTTTCTACATTTTGTCTGATTTGTGCTTGTTTTTCTTGAAAATGTTCATAATAGAAACAATGATTGGATATTTGCTAACATCTAATGAGCATTTTGAAATTAAACTTTGTCAGAATGAATCCTAACCAATCCCAATTTGAAAAATGAAAATGGGGGTAGGGGGGCCAAAGATTGCTTGTGAGCTAACAATAAGGATACAATTATTTGGAAGATAATACTGATTGAAAATACTAATAAATATAATTCATGATACTTATTTCGGCTTTTTTTGTTTTTGTGAGCAGTTTTTGTTTTGTTTTTTGTTCTTTTTTTTTTTTAGTGTTTACAGCTATCCAATGGAACAGGGTTTGGACTCAAGGAGGTTGGCACACACGCTATAATGTCATTGACTGATACCTGCTAATATCTTGCTCCTCTCTGCTTATCTGCCCTCCAAGGATTCCCTGTGTATCTCTGGTCAGGTCAATGTATTCTTCAAAAAGAAAGTTCAAAATAATTAATTTGATTTCTGAAGATAAGACCTTTGATTACAATATGTAACACAAAATACAATTAAATAGAAAAGAGAGAAGACCATGTAAACTTTAGCACTGTGATTTTAAAAATGCAAACTGCTTTTAAGTATTTTATGTAATCCATCAAACAATTTTTATGATAACATTTAAAAAAAAACTCTTTGATGTCTGTGTAGAGGTGTAAGTAAGTTTAAAGGAAATTTCTCATTACCATCTGTGTTTGTGGCTTGCTTTCCAGATGCTGTAGATATCGACTTCTTCTGCCCATCAGCACAAGCAGATTGACCTGGCATGGCATCGACTTGATCCTGAGCTTTGGTGTTAGTTTGGCATAACCTTGTCTGGTAGAAAAATATAATAAAATGTCAGTGTTTAGTGACGAAATGCTCTGTTCTCTGGTAGAGACCCTCTTCCGGTAACTATGGCTTTGTTTCTGGGTTTTTTTATAACATGGTGTCACTCTCATCCAACAAGGATCCGACTAATGCTTGTGAACACAACTTTAGTAAGTAATACTTCGTGAAATCAAGTTATTTATTTATATTCTTATTCGTCTCATGGGATAAATATCCAACACTTAATACCTTCAAAGAGACAATAATATGAAGTCCTTGTCGACTCCAGCAAATTTTCTTCATCTCTTGTTCACTTCAAGATCCACTAGCTTAACACACAAACAACACCAAAAGTAAGCAACAAACATGCCATCCCTCATACCCAAAACTGTCATGAATACAAACTACATAGCTACAGCTACACAATTCATCTCAAACCAAATACGTTATCAAACAAGTCATCAACAATGTGCACAACCCACAACAGTTATTCTCATAACCTTGACAAATGATTGCAGAAAAATAGAACAAAAATTTCAGCGTTCTGTGCACAACTCACAACAGTTATTCTCATAACCTTGGCAAATGATTACAGAAAAATAGAAAAAAATTTCAGCGTTCTGTGCACAACTCACAACAGTTATTCTCATAACGTTGACAAATGATTACAGAAAAATACAACAAAATTTCAGCGTTCTGTTACTAAGGAGGAGAGGATCAAGCAAGGTATGTTGACATAAATATTTTTTTTTTAAATATCATGTTTATGAGCAAATAAGAACTGAAATATAAATGTTCAACAATCTCTTTAGTGAAAAATATCGCCTCTTTGATACACATAAAAAAAATGTTGGGATAGGTTTTTCTATAATACTAAAACATAACTCTAATTCTACTTCAAATGTAAACTGTTAACATTAAATTTCAATGTACAAATTTGATTCTGTCACATCATCTCACCTTTGCTTTGCCTGAACCAGGCAAAACATCATCTGCTATAATTGTGGTCACGACATCTTCAACTTTGAATGATCCATCTGTTCGAATGCAAGCTTGGATTGCTTCTTCAATCACATGGTCAGGAGCACCAGTAACTTCACGAATTTTTGCAACGGTCAAAGTTTCATCACGAGTTCTCTGAAAGAAATGAGAATTTTTTAAAAAATTATCATGATGAATATCTTATGTACGAGAAATTGTTACAACATTGATATTTTTTCATATGACTAACATAAGAGAAAAATTTATAAAAATTAAAATAAACCTTTATTATTATTTCTTTACAACAACAAAAAATGTGGATGGCAGTCTAAAATCTCTGTGATACAAAAATTAAAATGGTAGGGTGGATGGTCAAATGTAAAAGAATGACAAAAACAGACTAGTGAGTAGTAGCCTCAAGCATACTCCACATTACCTACCAGATAATATACTTGTTCATTACCGCATTTGTTCATAAGCCAACCCATTAAGTTCTGGCCAGAAAAAGTCTGAAAAGTGTGTGATCCGCTCATAAGCCACACATAAAATTACATGCTAGTAGAAGCAATAGGCACTCAAGAAATGATTTTTTTTTTTAATCCACACTTTTAAACATATTATGGTGTAAGTTTAAACAACTTAAAAACTAATCAACAAAGAGTGTTATGAATAACACAGACACCCTGTACATAAAAAATGAAAATCTGAAATTGTTGCATGTTAATTAGTATTTTAATCAATTTCTTATAGCAGCAATCTTTTCCGATTACAAATTATAAAAAACCAACCCCTTAAAACAAAGTTTTTCATATTAATTCCTTAAATTTAAATGCATTTTTGTTTGCATTTATGTAATTGTATGTGATTTATTATTTATTAAGAAGCGGTTATGTAAATGGGGAAATTTCTGTCGAAAACAGGTATCATGTTTCTTTCATTTTCACCTTTATTTTTACTGCAATAGCTTTTGTAAAAGTAATGGGAGCAAAGACGTAAAAACTTTTAATTGGGTTAAATTGTATTACATTTCTTGAATCTTCTGCAGCAATAAGTATTTTGAAAAAAAGGAAAAACTGGTTTTTGAGGGTGGAGGATGGGGCTGAAAAAATTAAAAGTATGTGTTGTCATTGGCCACGAGTCTATGTGCCAAGTTTCAGCTCGATGAGGTGACAGAAAGTAGGTCAATTAGCCTTTCCCAGACTTTGCCACAGATGATCAAAAGCGAAGTTAATATAAAGGATTTAAAAATAAGTAAAATAGATGTGACTTTGTCATAGTGAGTCATTTTTTAATATTAATTTCTATTTTATTTGTATTGGTCTTGCAGTCTTCAAGGTGTGCGTTTACGCCACCTGCCGACCCACTTGCATCCACAAAATATTGGGTGCGTTTCTCAATTAATTAGTAAACCTACTATCACACTTGTCAGATGTTGTGTTACCAGATAAACTTTTTACATGATTGGGGTGATTTACCTCAGTTCCCCAACACCTGAATTTGTGAATAAAACTGCTTTTTTGGAGAAATGAAAAATGTATCTAAATAAAAGAATGAAAAGAAATGTGCTTTAAATGTGAAAACACATTTATGGTATAATATAGCTCTGTTAAAAGTGTACTTGACTAGTAGTTTATTATGGTAACAGTAGTAAATTTGGACAATGGTAGGCAATATTATGGTAGCATGGATGAGTAAATCAGCCCAAATACCAATTAATCATCCTTGCTACTTCAGCTGCAGATAGTTATGTATATGATGTTATGATGTATTTTGCTTTGAAATAACGATTGTAATTAAAAATTATAGGTGCTTTATTATAGTTCCTACTATTATATTTCATAACTGATAACAATAGAGCTAATGTTTGGGTATTGGGAATGAAGGTAAACCATTACATACAAGCCAACATGTATGGTTTACCAGCACTTTGTACATACCTTCAAAACTTGCAGTGCAATAAATCAAACGATATTCATTGATATCATTCGTTAATACTAACACAGTGTTATACAGTGGTAGCTATTTTCAGTCGTAAAATATAATCACAAATTCGTTTGTGTAATTTTAGGAAGGACAGCAGTGTTAGTGAGTGTTATTTTAATTTCTATTAAATAATTTAACACATTTAATTTTACTATCAATTGGCATTAGTCATTATTCCTATTTAATAAAACAGCATGGTTCAATTTGACATGTTACGCTTGCATAAACTAAAAGTTGATGTGATATTTTTCATTGTAAAAGTATACATTAGTTAAGAGTGGAAATCTGTGAGAGCTGAAGGCTACATTATATACTATTTATTATTTGACTTCCGCTCGAAACTTCTAATGAACACTCTATATCCACATGGGCATGGTGTAAAAAAATAATTCTATCCTTATGACATGTCCCTCAGGTACAGTGAAAAATAAGGTTATAGGTTAAAGATTAACTCAATAACTTTGTCAAGACAGACGAAATTTATTTTATTTCATTAAGTTAGATAAAGGGATCTATATTACTACAGGCGGCATAATTAACAGACTGAAGAATTATGTCTAATTACTAATTGCTATTAAATTCATCATCTGGTCCATGCTTTATAAAATTACTATTGAACAGTGTCAAAAAACCAATTCAAAATTTGATGAAAATCTGACTAAAAAACAAGCTATTTTCATTTAAAACAGGGGGTCTCAAACTCAAATCATCCGGGGGCTGCAGGAGGCAGAGCCTGAGTGAAACTGGGCCGCAGGAGCAGAGTCTGAGTGAGACTTGGACGCAGGAGGCAGAGCCTGAGTGAGACTGGGCCGCGGGAGGCAAATTCTGAGTGAGACTGAGCTGCAGGAGGCAGAGTTTGAGTGAGACTGATTTCTAATATTTACCCAATTATGGTTTTGCGTTACCCACTAACTGACTTTTTAAAATTTGAAATATGTGTATATAATGTTCGAAGCATGTTTTCTCAAAACCGCACTTTGGCCATGTTTCTCGCATAAAATGCTATAAATTAAAAACTTTAAGTCCGATTTTAAAACGGTTTTTACCAATATAATCAAGTCCATTTCTATACAAACATAATAAAAATCAGAATTAAACTAGTCGGTGAGGTTGGACTGAAACTGTCGTGGAGGGTCACATTATAGATATGAGAAAAGGGAAAACACGCGGGCCGCATTAACACTAAATTTGCAGTCATGTCACGGGCCGCAAAATATCGTCTTGCGGGCCGCGAGTTTGAGACCCCTGATTTAAAAGATGTAATCTATCCATTTTAGTATGATGCAAGCTTTCTTTTTTTTATGCATTCAAAACATTGATATATATGATGAAAAGTTAAACATTACTATATTTTTTTTGTCACATTTTCATTATTTTATGTAATGTTTTTCATACTGTTGTACATTTTTTGTGGGGGCTTTTTGTACAGTATTTTTTTTATCCCACAGGTTGGCATGTATGCCATTTTAAATTACAATAAGTGAAGAAACAGAAGTTAGTGCCACTCTCCCTAGCATATGAACTTTGCAGTACCAGATGGCCACCATGAAAAGCAGACCCCTTTCCATTCTATGCTTTCCTGTGTACTTAGAGTTGACTTCTAATTTCCTTCAGATTTATTAGTCAAAATATTCTTTGTTTAGTTTCAACCTGAAGGCAGCCCTTTGTCATATTCCATTAGACCCTATTTAAATGTTTCAATGATATTAAAGCAAAAATGACGCGTAACTGCTTGATAATGGCTAACACTAGAAATTTACAAATTATAAAATTTACAAATTATAAATTTAAATTATAACTTTATAATATAAATAGGTATTAAGACTTAGACACTTAAAAGTCTAAGTTGTGACTCAGATGCCCAAGCCCAAGTTCTAATTTAAGTCTTGTCTAAAACTTTAAGTAGAAGGCTAAGTAATGTAATAAAAAAATTTATAAGTATAAGGTAGGGTGACCAAAACATGAACTGGAAAAAATGAGTTGAGTGCGGGGGGATACCCTCCAACTAAACATAGGCCTCCGTCGTAAACTGTTTATTGAAATATGCTCATTTAATTATTTTGAGACTAGAAATCTTTTTAATTTACCTGCACTTTTGTAATTTAATTTAAACTCTGAGGCATATCATAAACGAAAACAATAATTTTGCAGTGATACTTTTTCATTTTTACATATTTTACAACATAATACAACACAACAAATTAAATTTCTCTAGTCAAGTCTAGTCTAGGATTTAAATTGAGGATACTTGGCTGCTGTCCCAGCCATCGTTAAAACTTCCTTCTTATCTAAGTCCATTTCAAAATTGTAGAGAACCTGCAGGATTGCAAAAAGGGTCTCCACTCTCATCTTGTTTCTTTCTTCCGTCCATTGAATGTTCATGAGCGAAACGATTTTTTCAGTATTACCATTATGGGCAGGGATCACAGCATCTGCAGAATCGTGGAGGGGAAACAGTGCAGCCATCCCGCGAGGAACATCACTACTGGCACTGGCTACACAGCTAGCCAAAATATTACTTGAATTTATATTATAAATTAGGAAGTTTTAGTGATTTGAAAATGTGTTTGGTTTTAGAAACGGGACATTTAGGCATCCTGAGAGACTTTTTCGGGACACCGGGTACGATCGTGAAAAATGGGCATGGGGCAATCCCGTTTTTACGGGACTGGGACGTTTGGTCACCCTAGTATAAGTTCATTTTGATTAATATGGATGTTGAAATTCAAGAGAGTTGAAAATCTAGCTTTCAGGCAATATATTGACAGTATTGTCCTGTAGTCCTAGTGTAGACAGGGCAGATACACTAACTAGCACATAATTTTAATGGCAAAATAATGCATAAGATAAGTCATAAGTATAAGTGAATAAGTCAAATAAGTGGCATTAAAAATTAATAAATTAATAAGATTGTAAATTGTAATTAAAAAATAAGTGTAATGACATTTTAAGTTTAAGTTTCCATAAATCTTAATTAAAGTACTGCCAGTACATGGACATGGATTTGGATGCAGCAACTTACCCTCGCCGTAGCCGTAGTCATTAGTCTATTTTAACTATTTATTATTTAGTATTAGAATCAAGTATAAAGAAAATCAATTATAATCATAAAATCAAACAAAAAGAGGTGCTATCCACAAGGCCAACTCCCTTGACTTGATCATACGACACTGAATGATGATTCAATGATTCCGATCAAAATAATTAAATAACAGATTTATAATTAGTAATAATATAATATTTTTCTTATTGAAAGTTCAGATATTCCAGTAGCCGGTGTTTGCTCGATGATACACAAGTTAAACAAACATTCTTCATCTAAATTTCAAAATGCATATAATAATATGTGATGCGAAAAATAAACATAGTATTTTTGTATACAACGAAAAATATTACCTGTCCTGTCCTAACAGACAGGGCTGTCTGTTCCACAGTCATTTCTGTGTAATTCCAAAAGTTTTACAATAACAATGGTGCCGAAGATGGCGACCACCAAAACATAGAAACTGTTACCAAACTTTGTAGAACAAGAAGGGATTTCCCAATTCATATTCAGAAAATATGCTGAATTCCTTCAATTAATTATTACAAATGAAGAAATAAAACAGATAGTAATCAAATTTTGGAAAAAATTAAACTACTTTTTCTAATGAATCATATAAACCGGTTTTTAAATGCAAATTATAAGAGGGAGGCTGAACAAATGGCGGATTAAATGAAGAATTCCCAACAGTAAACATATTTGTAAGTATGGTATATTCCGCTCTTTTTTATATATAAATATATTTTTCAGACGTTAACGTGTCCTCGGTAGTATAGTGGTAAGTATCCCCGCCTGTCACGCGGGAGACCGGGGTTCGATTCCCCGCCGGGGAGGCCATATTTTTTAATTATTCCTGCTCCTTATTCGATTTGTTTATATTATTCGACGAAACTTAAATATATTAATATCATATAGGTGAGATTTTCACAAAATAAAATTCCTCATATCTACTTTACATTAAATGAAATCGTGGTAATATAAACTAGTATATTTTTTTTTCAATTTTACGGACTAAATGCAGAGAGAGGCGTAGCGAGAGTGTTTGGCGCCCAGGGACAAGATTCGCGCCCAGGAGAAGATTCATTTTAAATCGCCCCCTTTTCTTTTTTCAACTCTCAAACCCATTATTTTCATCAATAAAATAACATAAAAGCACATTTTGACGCCCCTAGATAGGGTACATTTTTGGAGAAAAAAAAATTTAAAACTGTATTTTTCAGTATAGATCTAATGACTAATGTCAATGGAATTGACGACATATTTAAAATGTCCTGATTAAAATTGTAACTGTAACTAAAACTTTTCATTAAAAAGAAATATATTTAAAAATCACCAATATCTTAGCTTTTAAAATTATTTTTTTATCAGCCGGAGACCCCACACAAATTCCTTTTCGCAACCCCATTTAAGTTTGAGGTCACCTTCAATGTGTTCCAAGCCTGTGCTCTAAATAACAGAGGTCGGCAATTGCGGCCCGCGGGCCGAATGCGGCCCGCAGCTTCAGTTCATCCACCCGCCAGCATAAATTGATAATAGCGTGATTTATTTAAAAATTAAGTATGAACGTTGATCAGAATATTTGTAAAAACAGCATTACGTTGTTTTATGCCCAATAAAATCGAAAGGCTTCTTTGTGTCAGCTTCTTGTTTTAATTTTAACATTTCTCCAATGGAAATTGTTATAAGCTAAGAATAAATAATAAAATTATAGACTTTTCTTCACAACTAATTTGATAAAGTACTGGGTACTTCAGTTAATTAAATGTATCATGAAATTTGCAGAAGACGTGTAGGCCTAAGTGTCCTGAAAAGTACCGTATACTTATTTAACACCGTTAGCATTTTGGCGAAAACAGTTACTCTTAGAGTGAAGACAGTGTTAGATTTACCTTTAAGCTATTTAAGCTACAACTTAGGGTCCCGCATTCTACCGATATATTTTAATTTTTTTGATCAGCCGATGGACCGTAAAATAAAATGGTAAGGGGCCTCTGGACCATCTATAGCAGGGGTCGGGAACCTATGGCTCGCGCGCCAGATGTGGCTCTATTGATGGCTGCATCTGACTCGCAGACAAATGTTCGATTATAAAAAAAAGTTGCATTAATGGTAAGAAATACTCATTATTGAATAGCAACAGCATAACAATTTTATTGAAAAGAATTCAGAGACATAATTATTGCATTTGTAGTGTTGAAATTACACAAAATGCACACATTTACTTGAATTTTTAGTTTTAAACATAATGTATGGCTCTCACAGAATTACTTTTCAAAATATGTGGTGTCCATGGCTCTCTCAGACAAAAAGATTCCCGACTATAGGTTAGTGCATCAGAAAGTCAAAGTTCGGTCCCTATTGGAGGACATATTGGAGGACATAGAGGACACTATCATGTATCAACTGAGACACCATGCCGAAGAGTTTGAATTAATTTGAATGTCTTTCAATTGGACGGGACCAACCAAACGATATGACGTTACTTCCCTTTGTTTACATTTTATTAGTATTAGCGGTGTCAATTGTGATTTTGAAATGACAGGATTACTGTCTGCACATAGTATGCAAGAAACAGAAACTAGGAGGGCAGTTTCAAATAGGTAGAAAAAAATCTAGTGCTCAATAAAAATTTGGAATGGTCAAAACATTTGCAGCAAATTTAAGTGTGTCCGAACAGATTGTGCTAAAGACATGCGTGGTGAATGGAAATGTTTAATTGAAAAAATTTATAGCTATAGCGCTGTACGTGACTGTACTTAGTGTTGGCTGTTTCATGCCAATGGTTCTTCATTGTATTTTTGATCAACAAACATTGTTTGAATATTACTGGAAACATCGTGTGTGTGATGGAAGCCGAGACTTTCAACCGTGAACTTTAGTCGCTCCCATCGTCTCTATGAAAAGAAACGCCCTATCTTGTTTCTTAAATATAGCGGATGGGTTTGGAAATCTGCAGGTCTGAAGAAACACTTAAACGAATGGAATCTCAGATGGCAAGGCGAAACCAAACTTGTATCCGATGTGAAAGCATTTATTCGAAATTCAATGTTCAACAAACAATAATTCTTTTCGAGTACCGTACCGGAACCAGTTGAGGATAGCTTCACTCCATTCCATGCCATGGAAAAATTTGTGCAAGAACCAAACTGCTCAACCGATCATTCCCACGCAAGTTCATGCAAGGAGTGCTTTCTACAGATTTTCCGATCAGGGTGCCCTGAAAAAAAAAAACGATCTTCCAAAACCACTTTGATTTTGCTGTATTGTAATTGTATCAATCTTCAATATATGTTGAAAAATTGATGTATCCATCTTCAATATATGTTGAACAATTGATGTACGGTATCTATCTTTAGTATATGTTGAACAGCTGATGTATCCATCTTCGATTTCGATATATGTTGTACAATTGATGTATCCATCTTCAATATATTTGGAACGATTGATAGAAAGAAAGAGAACCCACAGCCTTCTACAAGTGGCTCACAGTCTATCAATTAAAAGCTTTGCTCATTTCTGTCTTTGCAACTACCTGTGTGCAAACACCACTACCTACTTGTGTAAGAAGACACTCTACCTACTTGTGTGAGAAGGCACTTTCAACATTTAAATACGATACATATATTCTAGCTACAGAGCAGCCTCATTGGATCAAGCATACACAATTCTTATGAAAAGGAGTACGGTACTAATTTTGGGGCTCAACTTAATGGGATTGTCTCTGAGAAGAGCCACTTTCATGCAATTCAAATGTTTTTTTTTATCTAACAATATTGTTTTTTGGAATTTCAATTGAACAGTGTAACTGTAATCTAAGTTATAAAAACACATTTTTTGCTTCATTTCATGTTTCATTTTGAAAAAAAATGTTTTTAAAATACCAGTAATAAAAATGTGTGATCATACGTATGAACTAACTTAAATTCGGCACCATTCATCCCACCCAAGGAGCCAGATGAGATTTTCTAACCTGCCCTTATCACAAAAGTTTGCAGTTCCTTGCCGTCGGGTAACTCATCCCACGATGTTCTTGTATTACTTTACAGTATCTAACACAATGTGTTTTTTTTTACATTTATAAAATCAACGTATCCAGGCGTATACATATATTACGGGAATCAACTAGCTTTACTGACTCTGAAAAAGTTTACGATACGGCTAATGTTTCATTAAAATTCTCTTTTTGTCAAGTTCAATAGAAAGATGTTGAAACAGCTAACTTTATTTTTCTATTAATACATATAAGTGTAAGAATCACACTATGCCATTAATTTAAATCATTTACACACACAAAAAAAAACCCAATCAATTTTCGATAGGATTGAACTAAGTTTATGTTAAGTTTATTGTCTATTGCCCCTATACCAATAACCTAACAACTAAAATAAACAAACAAAGCGATATGTACACAAAAATTTAATAGTAAAAAAGACATATTTTAATATCACGTTTTTTTCTCTTTTACAATCTCAATGTACTCTTCAAGCTGTACTTGTCTGTCGTTCCCCAAAAATACTTTCTGGGCATCAAACTTGATTTTTCCATCAAGAAAGTCATCCTCAATATCCTGTGCATAATATGAATCAAAGATCTCACGGGGAGTTAGCGGTGCTTGGCTTATCTCCTTGGCTTTATATGATACATAAGGTTTCAGCTGTAAAGAAAATAGTTTTCATAGGTAACAGTACAAAATGAAATTGAAAAAAAAAACTTGACTAAATCCTGTACGATGTACACTTCTTCTCCTATATTTTAAGGCAAGGGCCCACGATCAATGTATTGATAATTCTGGCTCCTATTTATGTAGTGGGGATTTGAGATATTTCTGTGCCTGGTATTGAAGAGGATATTTTACTGGTTGCAAGTGCTACTCAGCAAGGTTATCAAGAACTGGGGGTTGGAAGGCCTGAGGCAATAGATGCAAATGTGTCAAGTATTTTCGCCTCAACTGTTCCTTTTTGAAGCTTGTTCCCGTCCCTGATTGTCTGTGGCAGGAATAAGCAGTTTCCACATGCCTAAAAACCTTACAAAGCAGGGTAAACTGTACAGACTGGCATGGATGCAATTACTTTTGTATCTTTGTTCATTCTAATTAATAAATATTCAAGGTACTAAAAATTAATTTATTATCTAGATTTTTTGTATAAATTATCATCAGTTACAATAGTTAGAGAGATACAAAAAATAAATTATTTTGAATAGCATTTGGAAAGCTTCCACTTTCCATTTATTAAGGTGTCTAGGGCTAATTTACATATGATGATATTTGCTCAATTTGATTTTAATAAAGATTATAAATAAATCGCAGCATGACTTAAAAACTCTAAGAAAATGCTGTACCTCAAAACCTGTGAGATCTGGAACAACAAATTCTGGTACCATTTCTGGGACATGAATATATTTCTTGGTTAGCTTGTGGTATATGCCAGTCGGGGCAACAACTGAAAAAAAGTTTCGAAATAAGGACAAAATAAAAAGATCAGAATTTTATAAATAGATGATTTAGAGGCTGCTCAAATTGTATGGAATGGCTTTAAGTATTTATTTTATTTAGTTTATATAGCAGACTTATCAGGCTTGGAAAATTCATATTTTAGCTTTAGTGTCACAAATTCAATACAAATGAAATAGCACATTTTATTAAAATTTATTTTCATAAAATTTTGTTAAGCTTTATCTTATTGTGTAGGGCTTATTTATAGCAAAGGGCTTTTATAAATTCAAACACTGTCTTTAAGTGCCCAGAAACTAACATTTAATGAATAGTAACAGAGAAAAAAATTAAGCTCCCCCATCTTTTGTCATTTGCATTTGTGGTCTATATGAGATTTCTTCTTAAATTAAATAACAACTAGCTAGCAGAAAGTTATCAACAATCAATTTCAAATTCTTAGGCGAGTAAAATTAACTTTAACAATCAAATAAAACTAAATAATTTTAGGAACTTGCTTGCATTTCGTTAAAGAAATGCCTGGGAGGGGCGAGTTGAGCCCTAGGAATAAGTGCAGCTGCTGAGGGCTCAATTTGTCATTGGAGTGATGGGAATGGACAATGCAATAGAAACTTTGTGTTTCCAACATTTTGTAGACAAAACGCCATTGTCATCAGATTACAAATTTTGAATGAATGTCTTCAATTGTGTTATCCAGTATTTTTTTAATAAAAAGCTATTGAGACTACGCTAGAAAAGGCGTAGATGGCAGGTTGTTAGGGGGTATACTCGCATATCTGAGAGACACAATGAATAACGCTGCTATGCTCAATTTTGCACTTGTATTTATGGGCAGTTAATAATGCCCCATCTGCATGAAATAATATAGAAAACAAAATCAATGAAATTAATTCTGAATAAACAATGAACTTTCATTGTTCAATATTTTTTTAAAATGTCATTGAATTATTTGAAGGTCTATTGAGTTAACATCTGCATATTTCAGAGTAGACTATTGTTAACTATGTACATGAGGATTCCATTACTACATTGAATAAATTGCAAATTTTTATATCTTTTAAGACAGAAGCATCAATGAACAATTTTTAAAGAAGCAATTTTTATAATACTTTGTACCAGTACCACAATAGAATAATGCCAGTATTATGTAAACATGAAATCAATAGAAAACTGTCACACAATTAGATGGTGCAGTCCATACTACAGATACATTCAGGAAAGAGGGTATATATTATCGGGTATTTAAAATTTCCTAGCCTAAAATCTATAAAAGTTAGTCAACATTTTTTTAATTTGGTCTGTATAATTTTAATTTTTTAAAATGTGAAATCAATCGGCTAAATTCAGAATAAGTTTCCTATGTGAGGAATAATGCATTGCGCTCTACTCATAGCTCAATATGCTTAGGGCGTGTCTTGCCCTATCCAAAATTGGCATTTTGTTAATTCTCCGTTATTGTATTTTTAGTCCTCACTGAAAGGGGAGAAAACAAGTAAAGTTGAAATAAGGTAAAATACAATTACTCACTGGTTAATGAAATGACCTTTAATTTACGATCCTAAAATATGATATTACAGCCAAAATTACCTTAGACTAAGCATTTGGGTAAAAAATAAATAATTCCAAAACATTATTAAAAACATTTTAAAATATTAGGCTACATTTAGTTTAAAGGAGACTACTTTGAATTAGAGCAACAAAGCCAACATCATCTTTTAAATAAGCTGTAATTTTAACAGATTTTGAGCTATGAAAATTGCGATATGATTACCAGGTATTTACAAAATGACTGGATGGGGCGAGTTGAGCCCCATGAAAATTTACAGCTTCTGAAGGCTCAATTTGTTATTGTGGCCATGCACATTATGTGCTGCAACCATGCCTGTTTAGCTATGAAGACAACACACTGTCGATTTCACAAAATAACAACGTAATTAATGAGTATATTATGTAAATATCTAATAAATTTCTGACATTGTATTCCAAAGTAACCATTAAAAAAAAAATACGCTATTTGAGACAGTGTGAGGCAAGGGCTGGAGTTAGCATTGCATATTAAATATCCGCATGCTAACCTACAATTAATAAAGTCACAATGCCATGCTCAATTTTGTACTCATCACCAAGTTTTGTTTACTGGCAGTAAAAATTAAGATAACTAGATTCTTTTATTGATCCAAACAAATGGAAATGTTTTTTGATTGCAATGTACATTTTCAGCACATGAATAAAACAATTTGAACACAAATTATTTCAATTTCACAAGTGAAAAAAACAGCCATTTAAAATTTAGTGAATTTTCTTAGCCATATCAATATCAGGGATTTATTAGTTCTCATTTAGATTTGTGACTTCTGGGGGAGCAAACTGGTAAATTCTTACAGATATGGGGCACAAAAGGATTTTCATATTCATATCCTTCATTCCTCGCCCTTAGAGAAAGAATTTGTCCCCAACGAGCCGATCCTAAGTATCTGTGATGAAAGGAGTAGGCTTCCTATTGTTTCACTGTAGAATAAGTAAACGACTTGTTTTTTTACGCCGCAATTTTACATTTTGTTAAGGTACTGTAGAAAAGTCTTTGCCTTTGGTTGAATTTTTTGTCATTTGGCCATGCTCATGTCATGCCATGTTAGTGTTAGCTTATTGATTGCGATATATAAGTACTTATATGTCTCTAGTCTCTACAATTTGATTTTTTCATGTTGAGATCTGTAATGATCCATCTGCATGAAATAAAAATGTGTAAACCAAAACTGTCACTGGGCTGGGACTCACTTTTTTCCGGAAGAGCTTCGGCCATCTCAACACTACCTCCTTTAACATCTGGACTTACATCTTCCACTGAAACTGGAAACCTCTGATCCCAGGGTTTTCGTGTCTTTTTACCACAGAGACATGATGAGGTAGTTATGCTACGACGTGTACATTGTAAAAATTGAGCTCTAACTAACTGAAGCATTATTATAAACTTGTTGCAGTTACATGTATTAGGTTTCGGTTTGATGCCCTTCTAAACCGGAAGATCTACCGGTGACCCTTTTCAAGTTTGAGTACTTCAATTACTTAGGACTTGGAATGAAATAAAATATTTCGTGAAGCTTATAATATACGTGAGTAAAGAAATTACTTTATATATATATAATTGTCTAATTCATTGATATAATATGAATTCAATGTCTATAACTCAATTTTTTTCATGGCTTTATCTGAATTTAAATGTGCACGTTATTTTTTAAATAATATATAATTTGTGTAACATTCGGGCATGATCCCAGTATCGATTCATTTTATAACTCTTATTTTCGGAAGTACAATTTATTTGCAAACAAAGGTTTTCGAACTTTACTTTTTTTAATATATCGTTTAAAAACTTGCTGATTTATATACAATAAACAGGCTGCGACCATTCGTACCCGGGTACCAGAAGTGAGAGTTTGGGATTAAAAAAACTATTTAGATTTTATTGTTGGGTTTGTAAGACACAATGAGGTATCAAATGAAAGATAATTGAATGGGGTATATGTTTGTAAACTTAATTATTCAAGTTTAACTAAAATAAACTACCACTACCACAAATGACAATGACATCCGAATAGCAATAGCTTGAGTCTATTGGTACCCGGGTGCGAATGGTGGCGCTGCCCCCGGTCCCATGGGAATGGATATTATGAGTTCACTACCCTCTGGGCTTTTAATATGGATAATCAAGTGTGACCAAGTTTGGTCAAGATGGGGGTTAATTTTATTTATATAGCTCATAAAAGAAAAAAACAAAGTTGGGGCCTGAGGCCCCAAACGGATGTTATAAAAGGTCATAACCCCTTAAGAGTTCCTTCCGGATAATGATGGATATATTTGCCAAGTTTGATCAAGATCCATCAATCCTTTTAAAAGCGTATGGCGAACAAATCCACAAACAAACAAACTTTCACTTATATATATATATATATATGTGATGATGATAATATAATATCATGATTAAATTTCTGTTTTTTTGCAGTCAAATTTGCAAGTTGTGTCTACACATTCTGCTAGAAATTTAACTTGAAAATTCTGGGAAATGTTTTCTTTTCCATCTTGAGTGGAATAAAAACTTAATTTTTTTTAAAAAAAGCAAAGTGTATATTAATTTATGGTATAAATTCTTTTGCAACTCAGAAAGCAATAGCTATTTTTAAGCTACATAAGTCATAAATTAAATATTCTTGTAAGCATAAGCACACCAGGATGGAGCTGTTAAGGGATAGAGAAATAACAAAGTTGTTCTAATTCAATGTATTTTTTTATTTTCAATAATATTGAAAATATAATATAATATCATTTTACAATTGACATGAACTTAGATAACAACAAACTTAAAACAAATTAATTTGATTTAAAATTACCACATGCTGCTATTGAAAAACAACTATACTAAAATAACTCAATCCATTCTCACTTAAATATAGAAATACAGACAAACCAGGTCTCTGATGATATTTCACTTCATTTCTACATGGCTTAAATCTAGTAGCTTTCAGGACAAAATATTTATAGATTTCTTTCAAAACTATTCATTAGTATCACAAGCACATAGAATATTTTTTGAGATGCTGGCATCAGCATTGGCTACCATCAATCAATAAAATATAGTGTCCTCCATGTAGGTCCCCAAGTGCATATTTAATACACACGATTAGCTGGTAATAGACTTTAACAGAATGATAAAACTATGTCCTAATTTATGCTCTTATTTCACCAATCAGTATATAATGGAGAATAAAGAAAATTGGATGGATGCCCCTTTTGATGAACCCATAATTGTTTCCTGGCACCACCTATTTGTATAAAAATTGTTTTATTTAAAACATGCCAGTGAAGAGTTGCAGTTCTAAAACCTCGTCAGCTTGAGTGGAAAATTCTCAGTTACTAAATGATCATCAGCAAAAACAACCACAATGTTGATCTCAAAATCTGAAAGATACGAAAAGAATCTGTAAAATAAATGTTTGAAATATTCTTTATGTTAGATTTAATCAGTTGGGTAATATGTATTTCTACATCAAAATCTCATTTATATCATTATGAAAGACATAGGAATAACATTAGAATATTTGTTTTCTTCATGTTGAATTGAACAGCTGGTGAAAGGCAGTAAGTCAAAGTGATAAAAGAATCCTCAGAAATGAAGACTTACCAATTTTAAAATTATTAGTAGAGAGTGATGGACATGTAAAAAGTCGAGGAAAAACCATGTAAATTGGAATGGCCAAGTTCCTTGTCACATCCCCGTCAGCTATCTGAATATTTTGAATTTCTGTTGCTGTTGAGAATAGAATATGGTGTAAAATAATACTGCTTGCATTTTTATTAGAGAGTAATTTACCATCAGCAGCTTTTTTTTTTTTTTACCACTCCTTTAATTGCCTTTAGTGAAATAAAATAACATGACCTTGTTGAAAATATTTATTACTATTTAAACCCTTATAATAAATCATATTCAGATACAGAATAATTTAATTTAAAGTGAAATATAAGATTGCAACAAAAAAAAAACACCCCCATAACTAACGTTGGGAAAAAAAAGCTTCCAATTTGGAATGAGATTTATAATTGGTTCTCCATGCAAAAATAGCTATAGTTTGACCAGTTTAGTTACAGCTGCAACAAAGATAAGCTGCCACCTTGGAATGATATTGAAAATTGGTTCTCCATGCTAAAATAGCTGTAGTTTGAACAATTTACTTAGGCAGCACCATAGACACAAATGGCGGATCTGATGCGGACGTAAGGGCCAGAATTGGAAAAGCTAGATCAGCATTTGTGGTATTAAAGAAAATATGGGAGTCGAAGGAGCTGAAACTGCAAATCAAAGTCAGAATCTTTAATACAAATGTCAAAACAGTCCTATTATATGGTGCAGAAACTTGGAAAACAACAGTGAGCCTTATGCAGAAAGTGAAGACATTCATAAACACATGCCTTAGAAAGATCCTGAAAATCAAATGGCCAAACACTATCAACAACAAAGATCTACTAGAAAGGACATACCAGGTGCCCATTGATGAAGATATAAAGAAAAGGTGGAGGTAGATAGGGCATACACTCCAATAGCCCCAGATGGCACCACCAGACAATGCCTAACATGGAACACACAGGGAAAAACAAAGAGAGGAAGGCCTAAGAATACATGGAGACGCGAGCTAGAGGCAGACTTCGCAAAATATGGGATACACCTGGAAGCAATTGGAAAGGAAAGCACAGGACCGGGATTAGTGGAAAGTTCTTGTAGACGGCCTATGCCCCAGACGGGGTAGAAAGGCGTAAGTAAGTTAGTTGACCAGTTTAGTTACAGCTGCTGAAATGATTCCAGCTTGTAAAAAAACAAGTTTAAAGAAGAAACATCTTTTTCAAGATATTCTTTTGTGTTACAGGTATTGAAAAATATCTCCATCTCATCAAAAAGTGTTGGCTAATGTATTGGTACATCAATATTTCTTTCATCGAGGAATATACACATCATTGAAAATCATTTGCCAAACAGCAGAAATAAATATTAATGTAGTGCTCAAAATGTTTACAATTTTCAAACTAATTCAAATTTAATTCCAAATACCCGGTTCTTAGTTTAACCCACTCCTTCATAACACATTTCTTCCTAACATAAATTTGAAGCAGACCATCACTTCTGCCTAAGCAATAGGTTATTTCTCCTTTTTTGGATTTTAAGTTTTAAAAAAGAATGAAATCATTTTGATTTTATTCTCATCTAAACATTAATAAAACACAATAAATGAAATTAAATAATCACATTAAAAATATACGTAGATAAAACATACAGAATAACCACTAAATTTTAACATCTGAAGTAGAAGCGCTGAGTGGGACATAAGGCAGGAGTAATAAAGTGCACTCACCATCTTTAGCGTATCCTTCAGCACAGCCACACGTCTCCACCCTGACCAGTTGTATTTCAATTGATTTGATTGGTGCTTCACATACCTCAACAATTAACTAAAAATAACATAAAAGGAATATAAAAAAATGGATTTGCTAATGATTTGGTAGCAATTTTAGTTTTGTTATATATTTCTACTTAGGGTAGATACTTAGAGAATTTTTCACCCATTTTCAAATATTTGGCCATAAGGTTGTAAAGTTTAGTATGTCAAGCTGTTGTATACATAATTATTAAATATAACTATAACCCATCACATAGATCTAATCAGAAATTAATAGCATGATAATTTTTTTTGAAAATTACAAATTAGTAGTGCCAAATATATTTTAAACATTTTTAAGTCTAAAAAAATGAAACAAACCTCTCCTGTCAGTGGGGTCACTATCTGTAGACAAGAGGAGTCTATATGACCTTTCACTTTAAATTTGGGAACATTCTGTTTCTAAAAATGAAAATTTGAAAGTTTCAAATGGACATAAAAATATTATTTTAAAGCATCTCTCCAAATTGATTTCTAATGAAAATTAGTTCAGATCAGGCAATACAAATTGCAAATAAAGAAAGTTCAGTAATCTTCCATATAATATAATATAATTACTTGTTAGATAGAAGAACATTTTGTTAATATTTACCTCTTTCACATTTGTTAAAGTGTCAGGTGTTATTGAAAAGTTGACTAACTTTGTTTTAGCTTTTTCTTCTTGACTCTGAAAACAATTTAAAATTTTAAAAAATTATTTAATAAACCCAACAAATATTTTGGCTTGTCAAAAAAATTTTGTCTAAAGAATAAGTTTTCTGGGCAATTAAAAAAAATTATAAAAGAAATAATTCTTGTTAATAGGGGAAAACAATGAGACTCACTTCCATAAAATGTCATGTAATACTGACGAAATGAGAACATATTAAACTTGATTACGGTATTTTAACTGTTTGATTGCATTTAAAAATATTGGTATTAAATTGACAAATACAATTTGGTATAGACAGTATAGTATATGATGAATGTATGGTACTTTGCAACTGACCCTGTATTCTATGATAAACTCTGTCTGTTTCTGTAAGTCTTTATTAAAAACTGACCTCTTCATTTCCACTCTAACAAGATACTAAATTGTAGAATTAAAAAAAACATCCATTAGCATGAAAAGTATGAAAATGAAACATATGGAAGAGAGACAATTTTTTTTTTAGAATGTTAAATTAAAATTTTTATAAACCTTTAAAGTGTTTGCTTCCTATAGCTATTAATACTATACTATACTGAACATGAAGTTCATATAAATGTGGAGCATTTGTTTTAACATGCTAATACTAACACAAGTTTCAAACAGAAATAATCAAAAGCCACAAAAATATCTGTGACACTTCAATAAACTATTTGTATATGCACATAATGCAGTCAGTTGAGTGATAAAATAATGGTTTAATAAAATAGAGAAAGTAAAGGATAAGCTTTTTAAGCTACAAGCCTTTATAAATTCAATAACCTTAAAGTGTAAATAAACCTACTTAAAGAAATAAAGTAGAAGGAAACAAGAAACAATTTTGAATGACATAATGATAATGATGAATGAATGCACTTGCTGCAAAACAATAAAACAGTAACTCTAAGCAAAATTTTACAAGACTCATTAACTCTCCCACTTATTGCTCATCATTGCATTCGCTGGCCATAACAGGGTGTTATGATAGATACTCTTGTTTGTGATGCATTTCTTAACAATTAATAGTTAAAGAGGTTATTTATAAATGTATATTAAATAGAATATCTGTACCTCAACAATAATCACTTTTTTTTTTTAGACAACGACATAACATATATACTCATATACAATAAGACACCCGTCTCATCAGGAACAAAGTAGGACATAGGTAGGAACTCATAATGTCCTTTCTGCAGGACTTAACAATTAATAGTTAAAGAGGTTATTTATAAATGTATATTAAATAGAATATCTGTACCTCAACAATAATCACTTTTTTTTTTTTTTTTGCACTTGCCATAAGATACTTAGAGGAGATAGAAATAACATGATCCATACATGTAACAGTCGACACTAACACTAACAATGTATGAAGTAAAAAGAGCCTTCCTCAAGCAATTTGTAGAATCTGGTACAAAGGTACCACAGTGCTTACCCCACTCATTCCTGTTATAGATTAATTAGGTAATGATGAGGGTAGCATGTTGAAAAAATGTGTCCTAAGTGCGTTGTGTGAGTTATAAAAAAAAAACACATGGGTACATTTTGGAAGGAGAGATGGTTTTGATTTCTTAAGTTAAATTTCACCAGTCCAACGCATGGGAACTACTTTTTAGCAGTGATTGAGGCCCTTTACCCCCAAAGATTGGACAACCTGCCTTTAACATCACTCTAGGTATGTCACTGATCTGTATGTTAACAAACACACCATGTCACTGACCTGTATGTTAACAAACACACCATGGTATGTTTCATATAGAGTTTTCCCTGGTTTTGGTTTCAGTGGAACTTCAAATGGAATTTCAGTTTTCCCGTTGGGTAGTTTTCCTGGCTTGGCTACTTCAAGTGTATAATTCAGCAGCTGTATTGGCTGTGAGAATGAATATTCCTTTATAAGTCTTAAATAGTTTAAAGTAACTTGATGTAAAGGGCTTTACTATGAGCAAATTGTATGGGAATATCAGTGTCTTATTTAATTGCTAAAACTTGTAGTAAAACTGGCCCATGACATCAAATTGTAAGTCTATATTGGCCCCTGATGTCAAATCATAAGTCTATGCTGGCCCATGATGTCAAATCATAAGTCTATTCTGACCCCTGATGTCAAATCATAAGTCTATACTGGCCCATAATGTCAAATCATAAGTCTATACTGGCCCGTGATGTCAAATCATATGTCTATACTGGCCCCTAATGTCAAATCATAAGTCTATACTGGCCCCTGATGTCAAATCATAAGTCTATACTGGCCCCTAATGTCAAATCATAAGTCTATACTGGCCCCTAATGTCAAATCATAAGTCCCAAATAAAAAACAAACCTTTAAAGAGTTATAAAATGCCTCAAATAAGCCGACACTTTTTGCACTCAGCTGCAAGTTCACCATGCCTTCCATTATCAGTGTAATGCCCTGGTGTTGTAACTCCCCTTTGCTCTGCACCACTACTACACCGGCAATGACATCCTGGATTATTAATAGTAAAATTGTTCTAAAAGGAGGTAGCATAATTTAAAAAGATGTTTTTTTAAGATTTTTAAATAGCTTATCATGGTAAATTATCAAAAAATAATTAGGTGCTCTATTTAGAAATAAATTATTGTCTATAGATTATAAATATAGACACATAGCTAGGGGTTTTATTATTTTCTGTTTGTTTAAACTATAATTTGATAAGATTATTAAGATAATGAATACTTATTATTTAGAAATAAAATGATCAACAGTATTTCTGTATTTCCGTTAACTGTGGCGAACCTTGACTAAATGCCACCCAAAATTGTGCAAACCTGCCAGGAAAATTATCAGTAGACCGTTGCTTTTCCCAACGCCAATTATCGAAATTTTTGCTTATCTAAACTGCCCTTGTCTTTTATAACTATTATATTATCGCATGCAATACAATATGTATGGAATAGAAAACTTGTGTACAAAGAACCGAAAATGATACCTACAGTATGTGCAGTGATTAAACTTGGATAATGGGATCTTCAAAATTGTTAAATTATATACCTGTAAAATATTGTTCCTAGTATACCACTGATGAATAAAAGCAACACCTTTCAAGTTTGTTGCTATTTTACGAAAATAAATTAAACAAAATTTTTGCAACCCCGATGAAGGCCGCAAAATTTAAGACTTAACGGGAATTATTTTTGCAGAAAAAAATCCATTCCACAGTTATCAATCAGGTTACCCCTGCTGTATAATTCATAAACTGGATAATAATGCAACATGCTTACATCAATACAAAAAGGAATGTATTATATTAGGGGCACTAACTTCTTTGGGGTATTTGGTTATCCGAAAATAGCAGTATCCGAAATAACACCGAACTCCATTACATAAAAAAAATCAACGCTCTACTCTATATTTAGTATACCAGTAGATAATAAGAATTGTTTTTAATGTTATTATTCAACAACAGTTCATTCCTTTGTATAACAGCGTGGGTTATACTGGTATTTGCAGATGAGCTCAAAGTTCAAACTTGCAGTTAAAGCACACAAAAAAACCATTATCAGAGAGATATTGTACTTTAATATGTTTTTTCCTCCAAAGCTTCAACAGCTCTGTAAATATCCCTGTTTAGAAATCCATCCTAAATTTAGGGATTCTTATTGTAAATACATGTATACAAAAATATTTACAATAATGGACAAATCTTGTTCAATGCTAAAGTAGCGTGACACTAATCAGTAATTGATGGGAGTTACAAAGAGGCTTGCCAAACTGGCCTTTTTAAGGCCAGGCCAGATTCCTTAAATTTGGGATTTTTTCATATTAAACAGCCTAAAAATTTGAGTTCAGGCTTTTTAAAATATTTAATTTCATTTATTTTACACTTTTGCAAATTTGTCAAAATACAACAAATGTGGCTTCCTTAATGTGGCCCCAATACTTGACTGTTCCCATCCTTATGGGTAGTGCAGATCTAAAGGGTATGGCGATCAAAAAGAAAAGGCGACATGGGAGGGTTTCTATGGTATGAAAATAAGCCTTCTAGTTCCAGTGATGACTTGATTATTGTGAAAGATAAAATCAGTGTTTCCCATTTTGTTCTTTTGTTTCAAACATTTAATCCATGTGTATGGCCTAGGTGCTTTTTAAAAACTTTTCTTCTTTAAAGTTCTTCTTCTTGTAAAGAATGACATTTGTATATGGATATTTTCAACTCAATGTTATACTTTTAAATCAACATTATTAATAATCATGATAATACAGATAGTATTGAAAAGAAATAGTGTTCTAAGGCAAAGGAAAATTTAAATAAAAAATTTTTAAAAAAAAAACACCCCCCCCCCCCCCCCCATTCTGCCTGCATCTGTCAAAATTAAAATATTTGGTAAAATAGGGGAACATAGGCAAAGTAAATTTGCTGTTTGAGTTTGCACTACATGTCACTGATAAGTCAGGAAGTTAAAAGCTGGGATTTTGAGTGTATCTCCAAGCTGGAGCTCAGAGCTCTGGAGCAGGGTCTTTTAGCCTTAAGCTAGAGCAATAAATTTCTTATTGCTTCTATTTCCAGCTCCAAAAATGTTCATAAAAATAAATTGATTTAAAATTTAAAAAATACAAAACATTAAGAAATGAACTTTTTGAAATTTTAATTTTTTTAAATTTAAATATTTAAATTGCTGCCTCACTCCTCTAAAAGTTATGCTCCCCCCCCCCCCCCCACTATTCTACAGCTATGTTGCCACACTCTTATACAAGTTATGTAGCTCCACTCATATCTACAGAGATGTTACCCTACTCTTTTACTAGCGATGTTGCCTCCCCTCTTCTACCAGCTGTATTAACTCACTCTTCTACCAGCTATGTTTGCTCTACTCTTCTGCCAGCTATGCTGCCCCAATCTTTTACCAGCTATGTGCCCCACTCTTCTACAGCTGTTTCCCTCACTCTTTGATACCTATTTTGCCCCAGGTCTTATACCAGCTTTGTTGCCTCACTCTTCTGCCACCTATGTTGCTCCACCCTTTTACCTGTGATGTTCCTGGTAAATGCATTTCTAATGCCTAGTTAGATGGGTAGTGACAATAACAAACACAATTTAAACACTTAACCACCCCTTTCACATATAAAAATACTAATCTTTATACTTTATCATTGTAATGAATCACATTTTAAGTCATTTAATGTTAATAATTTAAGCATGTGATAAAAAAAAGAGAACCATGTGTCTAATTTGGTCTTAAAAGACAGAATACCAATACATTGTTAAAATGGCAGATTAGACAGATTTTCTGCAGATTAATGTCTATTAATGTGTGCAAGTGCAAACCAAAAATTTGGTATAGAATTATTTTTTAATTTTGCCAGAGCTTGGAGCACAGCTGGAGCTAACAAAACTTTTTCCAAAGCAGAGCTCAGCTTTAAAGAAAGTCTGCTCCAAATCCCTGGTTAGTACGGCAATCCTCTGAAGTCCGGTTCCAAATTATTTCCAATGATTACTCCCTACTTAAAAGTCTTGGGCATCATTCTGTTTTGAAATTCATGTTTGCGGTAGTGGACGACGTTGGATGGAGGTTGTCGGCCGTCGAGATGCACAAACACTAGAGAGCATTATCACTAATCATATGATACCAGGGACAGCTATCGTCACGGACGCTTTGGCGAGGATATCAAAATGTTGGTCAGTTCAACAACGGGATTTATGCACAAACTGTCATGTGCACGCGCGTGAATTTGTTGATCCAGTAGACCAAGACATTCACACAAAATATTGAAGGACTTAGGATGCAAGCGAAATGTGTAATAGAAATGAATGATGCTCACTCTTCAGGATTCGTGTAACAACTGACTTTATTTTGACCTTCTCATGACGTTCAAAAACTTTCATGAATAAAAACAACTCATGACGTCCAGTCATACTGTCACAAAACGTTGACTCCGCTATCAGAGTGGTACTGGTTACGGTATGTTTGCCAGCTACTTGGGGGCCTTTCAGTGGTGCAACAGTCACAAACAGAACGTTTTCGGCTGGTATTTGCAAATGCTATGCGCCAATTACAATATTTAGTATTTACGGACTGGTTTATAAAGTGACAGTTATTTTCAAAAGCTATGACTGACATGTCTTCTGTTTTCTAACAACAAACACTGTGTATTGCATTTTTTTCATACGAAATAATTTGGGACCGGACTTCGGAGGATTGTCGTTAGTACTATTGGTATTAGGAATGCCAAACTTTGGACTTGGAGCAAAGTCAGCAAAGTTAAAGATGCCAACTAAAATGATGCCAAAATGATCAATAAATTGATCGTGGGCCCTTAAGATATAGAAGAAGAAGAAGAAACTATCAGGATGTTTTAGTAGACACATCACATCCACTCTATTACATTTGTTGTTTCAAATATTTAATGGAACGGCATGTCATTTATCATTTAAGTAACATATGTGATGAAATTTTATAAATTGTCATGATAAAAAAACTTAGATATTAGTCTAATATTAGTATTAGATGAGCCACGCCCACATTTTCCAGCATGTATTTTATATATTTCATGACCACCGCTACTCAAAAAGACATATATTTTTCCATTCATGTTTGATGAAATGAGCTGTGAACTGTATTTTTTAATCAAATTAATTATTGATAAAGTTTTTAAAAGATAGTTAAATGAATACCCCTTCTTTATAAATTTTGTTAACTTTCTTCAATCTTATGTCTAGTTCCGCCATTTTGTACTGATCATGTGACTATAAAAAAACATAAACATCTGTGATGAAAAAGAAGGTGAAAACTCCGTACACAAAAATCCTCCTGAGGAACTGACATCGACTTTATCGAAAAAATTCAGCACTTAAAATATCAAAATTTGTTCAGTCTTATTTTTTGCAGCCCTTTAAATGCCACATACTTTTTTATTTGTTTTGAGGAGTATAATAACGTATTGTTCGCGATGTTTGTGAAGACCCGTAGCCGTAGGGCTATTGCAAAAACACTACCAGCATTAACTCATAAAATAATGTTAAACTAAAGTACGATCTTTAAAATACGGAACCGTATTATGTTGTCATTGACTCTTTGTTGCTAAGGAATTGGTGTTCAGATCGTGTTCAAAAGAATAGTCACTGACTTTCCCGTCTCACATAATGAAAACGTCACCATTGATATTGTAATTTCTTTTGAAAACGGCAATAAGCTGAAAGGTTAAACCTTTTAGTCCAGGTGAGAAACTCAATATAGGTAGTAAATTATTACTGTACATTTCTTAAATTTATGTCCTTATCGCATAATAATAAATATCAATATCCCACTTTCGATTGAAGTGAAGTTGGAGTATTTTCGTAGTGGTAGTCTGAGAGTCTACGTATCGTATCGGGCATATTTAAATAGATTAGGCTTAGGAGGTAGTGTCGCGGTGGCCACCAAATAAATATATAAAAGACGACTAAAGATAGTCAATAGTGGCTTAGACTTAAGAATTTATACTAATTTATACTTATACTATCACTCTTTACTTTTGTCTATGTTAAGTTATAATAATATTTTTTATACAAAGTCGTAATTAACCACTTGCAATGGCAAATAGCATTAAAATATAAATGTGTCTTCTCTGTCTAATAAAGAGAATTTAAATATAGCCTATTTACCATCACTCCCATCAGGGCAGTGGAAAAGAAATAATAAAACGCCCTTACCGTAAGGGCTTTTTATTATTTCTTTTCCGCCTTACCTCTTCTTCTTCTATATTTTGAGAACCCATGATCAATGAATTGATCATTCTGGCTCCTATGTTTCTGAGGGGTTCCCGATTTAACTACATGGTTTTGAAGGGGATACTACACTGGATGCAAGGGTTCCTCAGCAACTGGGGGTTAGAAAACTGGAGGCAATAGCCGATAGCCGCAAATGTGTCTAGTGTAGTCGCCTCAACTGTTGCTTTTGGAAGCTTGTTCCTGTCCCTTATTATCTTTGGCAGGAATGAGGAGTTCCTGTACTTAGTTCTTGTTTTTATGAGCCGGAACTGCCTTTCATTGCCTCATTGCTGTCTAGGGGGGAGAGGGATGGGTTTCTGTTTAATGCTGGAGCAGTGGATCCATTTTTTATCTTGTACATCATGGAGAGTCTGGATAGTCGTCGTCGTTCCACCAATGGTGACCAGCCCAGTGTTTCCAGCATGCTGCCAACACTTGAGGTGTTTCTGTAACGGTTCAGGTCAAAGCATGCTGCCCGTCACTGGACCGCCTTCAACCTGTCAATGCTCTTCCGGGTCAATGGGTCCCAGACTGAAGATGCATACTCTAAAAGCGGCTGGACAAAGGCCTTATAGGTTTTTTTCTCGTGCTTGAGTGTCCGATCTTCAGATTTCGCCTTAGGAACCCTAGGGTGTTGTTTGCCATGTGCAATAGGGAGTGTTGAAATGTTTGTGCATTAAAAATTGCATGATCAATTTAAGGCCTGGAAAACCATAATTATATCAAGGGCCCATTGCACCATTCAAATTCACTTACTAAAGAAAAATTATTGATTTATTTGGAAATAGCCTTAGCCTGAATCCCACAAGCACCAATTCCCTAATATTACTTTGAAATCTTCAAGACTCGAGCATCCGGCTTGAGCCCAGTTCACAACAAATACTGTGTGTAATTGGAAGTGATTTTGTTACAGCAGCCATTAATTTGAAAGGATCTGAGATGTTAAAAAAGGAACCACCAATGAAGAAAACAGTGTTTTTTACCTTCTTGACAAGACCCCAATAGTTATCACCTCATATCTTATGAATGTGACGAATAACCAAATTATAACACCCATTAAAAATAAAATCAGTTAAAATTATTAATGATTTAAAAGGAAGTGCATAATTTTTTTGTATGTAAGAAACTTAAAACACAGAACTTAAAATTAGATATAAGTTCTTATGTATGGTACAAAAACAACTATGTACTTCCTTTAATAAATAAGCAAAGCCAAGGAAAGATTATTTTCTATTTATTGATATTAGTTAACACCATGAGTCTGAACCAAACATTATTTTCTTTTCAATCATTACAATCATTACTCTCCAAATTATTCATTTGAGACTGAATTCTTTTCAGGTCTCTTAAAAACAAAAAATTAAAAAATGCCAGAAAAAACAGATATTTGCAGCATAGAAGGGATGTCAATTTTTGATGAAGTGTTCCCTGATAATGTATCTGTTAGTGATCTCTGTGACTGTGGGTAAGTAATTTTGTTATAAATAGGCAATAGCAATTTTTTTTTCTGTGAAATAAATTCATGATAAAACAAATCAAAGTAGGTACCCTAATTAACCAACAGGCAACACAATATTGGAGTACATAGTGCATAGGGGAAATTAACATGAGCTAGTCCAATTCTCATACTAAATAGAATGTGATTCACATTAACATGAAATGCTAAAATTTATTAGATTGCACTGTGTTGTTTCATATTTACTGTTTGTATGGGAAAAATTTCTGTAGCTACAGTGTTTGACAGCTTGGTAATAGACTAAACTTCATTCCTTTTGTACCAATATGGTTTTATAATATATACATATATCATATAGGATATATACTGGTATCTATATATGACAAAACCATATTGATACAAAAGGGACATAGGTTAGCCTATTGCCAAGGTTTTCCTTCTCTTGGAGACATTGCCCATGACACGTCTGGCATCTTTTATTTATATATAGTGCTGAAATATACTTCATCAGTTAAACATGTTTCTATCAGAAACTAGTTTTGATTTCATATATCGCTTTTATATTTACCATTGTGTGTTCTGCAGCCGTCACAAGAGGCAGCATTCTCACAAGTCCATGCTCCAACAAACTAGAGAACCTTTCCCCAAGTCCGACTATATGTCAACTTTCCAAGCGGTGCAACATCCTCGACCAAGATCATCCAAACGTCCTCCCATGATACCTTGGGATCCCAAGCTGCCGCCAATGTACATTTCAACTAATCAAAAAGATGCATTTAAAGACTTGGGGAATGTTGAAAGAGTGAAGCCGATCATTCAAGTGCGTAGTTATCTAGTCATATTAAAAAAACTTGTCTCGAGGTAAAAGTGACATGAATCAGGATAAGATCTTAGTATTTTAGAGCTAACTTAAGAATCAGAAAAGTAAAACAAGATAATTAATAATCTGTATTGTATTTTTTAGTCTGACAAATATGAGCCATGCAAGGAGCCACTTGATGGAGTGACCTTTTATTCTCAAGAATTCACCCCAAAGCAGGTAAGAGTCAATTCCAAAAACTTAAAATAAATTCTGTTGAAAGGTTCAAAGCAAGAAAGTTAGTACTCAGTATTATCTGGCTATGCTTAAAACTAAAGTTAAATTGGTAAATAAACTAACTCTTGGGCAAACTAATTTATGTATGTTATTTAGCTTTTTCTTTTTAAACATTAAATCTGTCCATCATTTTGGTGAAATCAATGTAAATCTAAAAATCACAATTTAGGTCATGACATACTACCTAATTTTCATCACACTGTTATAGACTTTAGAGTATATATTAATTTGTAGAGAGGGAGGGCACCAATTAAGGTATTGAATAGTTTCTAATACATGATTTTACTTTGAAACCATATATTTTATGTTATAAAATGATAAAAATATGAATTCTCATGATCTCTTTCAAAGATAAGTAATGAACCAGTTTTGCGGCACATGCCACGCCACGACTTAATTCACAGAGAGCCTGCCATATTTGATGACATGACAACCAATAAACAACACTACAAGAGATGGGTGCCACAACCTTGTTTAAGTTTTGGGGAACTACCAAGCTTCACGGGTAAGCCAAGTAGTTATCACTTTGAAATTTGTTGTTCATTTCATTTGTTAAATAATGTGTTTTTGAATGTAATTTTTTTAATGTTTAGTCATTTCCAAATAAATTATGCAAGTTTGCCTCTATTAAACAGTTACCTTCAACATGATGAACAAATCAACCTTTTAAAAAAATCATAATTCTTTATAATTATTTTCTTTTGTACATATCAATAAAAGAGAAGTAATTACATAATCTATAAATTATTTAAAGATTTGGTTTAACCAATTTATAAAGCTAATGTGATAAATACCGTATTTATTGGAGTATAACAAGCCCCCGCATATAACACGCACCTCAGTTTAAGAAGGAAATTTCAGGAAAAAAAGTAAACATTATATCGGCGTATAACACGCACACATGATTTGCCCCCTATTTTCGGGGAGAAAAAGTGCATGTTATACGCCAATAAATACGGTAGTTAATTTTAAAAAAAAAATGCACCACCAATATTTCTGAATCAAATAATAATAAAAAAATGTTCCTTCTAAGGGTTTCAAAAGCTTTTCAATGTTTAGAACTCATTATGAATCATTTGACTAAATCTCAAACTCTATACAAAACTGTATGCCTAAGCATCACACCCCCTTCAAAAGTAACAAAGCATTTTTAAACTGGGAATATAATGGAGTTTCAAATGTTTGTAAAGAAAACTTTAGAACAAATAATATTGTGACATATTGCATATAGTGAAATGCTAATGAAGAGATTAATTTAAAGTTAATGAATGGCTCCTCTGTTCTTGTAATCCCTTCTCCTTGCACTCCATGATGTGTGAGGACAACAAGTGGTTAAAACCCACTTTCAGTGATGGAGAAATATTTTATTTATTACATATTAAGTAAATGACACTTACTTGGTATAACTCCAACAGCAATTGTTTTTGGAGACTGAGATAATGGAGGAATATTTTGTATTTGTACTTAACCGAAAAAATTACAATTCAAGACTCTATTTTTCCTCTTCAGGTTCAGTGCTTTTCCCAGACAAAGAAAATGTTCCTGTATCTACAATGAGACATGCATTTACAGGAACATTTGCACCACCTCCCCCTCAAATGAAGATGCCACCAGCCAGTATAACATTAGAAGGTTTACTAAAATATTAGTATGATTATAAAACAATATTATAGACGATACATGTAACATAAAAACAGTATTATTTAAACATATTTAAGACAATAATTTTAAAGCCAAGTTGATTATGACGGGACAGTGTTGTTTTTTTCCTTCTGTCTCAATGCATGATAAAAGTAAATGATAGTTCATTTTTATCATTAATGTTTTTAGTGACTCTGACATGAAACTGTAGGCCTCATACAATTGTTGTTTTTTTATAACTGTATGAAGCATTCACTAAATACATCTGAATGTTGATGCAGGGGACCATCTATTTGATACAACTCATAATTCAACCTACAAACAAATTGATGGGGACCACAGGGCTAGAAAAATCATCCAAAATGACACGTCGCCTCTTCACAGGCGGGGACAATTTCTAGGTGTCACACAAACTCAAGAAGACTTTCCTGGGTTCAAAGGAGGTCAGCCCCGCCCACCTCGACCCGTAGAGCCACCACACGCAACTATTGATTTGAAATTTGACAACAGGTAGGCCTACAAAAATATACATAATATAATATTCACATCTTTTGTTTTTTAATTCAGCATTCACTATGAATGTGAGTGAAAATTAAACAGATAACACTTTATGAGTTTAGCCTTTATATAAATATATAAAACACCTTTTCTGTTATAAATATTTTTAATTTTAATCTAAAAAAAAACAAAAAAAAAAAAAAAAAAAAAAAAAAAAAAAAAAAAAAAAAAAAAAAAAAAAAAAAAAAAAAAAAAAAAATAAAAAAAAAAAAAAAATAAATATATAAAACACTTTTTCTGTTATAAATATTTTTAATTTTAAACAAAAAAAAAACAAAAAAAAAAAAAAAAAGCAACCAAAAATTTAAAAAGTTAAGTGAGATTTTCTTACAAAATAAATAACTTTTGTAATTGGCAACCTATTGGCTTAAAATTAAAAAATATTTTTACTGTCCAAACAGGCATAATTTTTCAACTGAAAATAGGACTATCTTCAGAGGACATGATGTGAAAGATCATCCTGCAGCTAATTCTTGTAAAAAAGGGGGTGATGACTACAAAATTCCTTCTGTTAAATTCGAGACAGAAACTAGTCAGAAGGTTGTTTTTTTTTTTTTAATTTGTATTTTATCTTTATTTGAAATAATTATTAAATTATTTGGCAAATTTTTTTCTCTCCAAATGTATTTTTTTATTTTTTTAAACAGTTGATGACTTGTACATTATCTAGTAATTTAGCAACTATTTATACTTACTTTTTAAAAAAAGATTTTAATTTATATCATTTAGTTTTAGTGAGTAAGAACTTATTTGTATGTTTATGTATCATGTTTAAATGTCAGTTTTAATTAGTTAGAAGAATATGTAGTAATTTTATAATGTTATCAATTGCCTAAAAATCAGAGAGATTACCAGCCAATTGATTTGAAGACAGCAGACAATGCCAGAATTCGGATTCCCGTGTCCCATCTTGCCCTTTCCGCTGATGCTAAGTTTGATGGTCGGACAATGAACAGTGACTTATTTCAAAACTGGGGTGTTCAGCCCAGAGTCAGGTAAATAAATGTGTGGGAAGGGAGTGAGAAAAAGAAATAAAAAAGGGAAGATTTAATTTAAAATTTTATTAAATCTGAGATTGCAGAAGAAAGGTAATTACCTTATTTAACACCTGTTCATATTTTATGGTACACTTTAAAAAAAAAATGAATGTACATTTTAGTGTACAGTTACGAAGAATAAAAATCCATGAATTGTTAATTTCAATTTTTTAATAACTTACGGACTTGTACACTGGTTGAAATAAACTGACATAAAGATACACATTTTATATGAAGCCTCATTTATATGCAGTTTATTTTTAAAGTATTATTTTTTAAGAAAGACTTAAAAGACTAAAATAGACATAAGCCAGATTAAATTGACTACCTACAAATAAATACTGTAAAAAAACAGAAATATGCAGATTCATTTTTGTTCTGGAAAAAAACCTTTTTTTTTATCATTTAAATGTTTCATTAAATTTTATTGGTGCACCCTACAATTCTCAGTGCATATCTTTAAAAAAACTTTATGATACATTATACTTTGTAACATAGCCTCTCTTACCCTATGTATTGCTTACACTGCTATTTTTTTTTTAGTTTGAAGTGAAATAAAGATGACTGAAGTTTCTATTTCTTCTCTTCCTTAATCCATGTCTCTTCCAGATTCGGAGACTTCCATGAAAACAAGCCTTACATTCCCAGCATGCAACCGTTCAATGCCCAAAGTACAACCAAGTCAACATTTGTACCCAAGCCTGTGGAACCAATTAAGAAACACAGACCAGAGGACAGACCTATCTCTAAAAGTGGAGAGGTAAGTCCCATAGAAGAAGCTGAATTTTACATTTTCGTAAGCTGCTTATGGTATGTTCAAATAAAAAACAATTAGTATTACGTAGAAGGAGACAGATTTTCAACTACAGGTTCTGCATTTAAAATCTATCTATTGTAGTCAGTAGCATTCCAGATGGTAATTCAATTTAAATAATTTAATTTAAGTTTTTTTTTTTTTAATTTACAAAAATAAAATTAATATGAATGTCAGTAGACTTATGAACATTTAGTTATGTCATATTTCTCCTCACAATTTGTATTTCGCAAAATAATATTAGTTATCATGTAATTTATATTTTAAGATTTTATTTTAGATAAATAAACAAATGGGGTTAATTTTTGCTGATCCTGGTGTGCTCCTCAGGTTTAATTTACAAAATATGCTATTGATAAGAATTTTCAAAAAAATTGTTAAAAAAATATTTCATATTTAATCAAAAAATCATTTTCTCATGGGTTTTCTCACAAATATATCTTGTACGATTGAACAGGGAAATTTTAAGACCGTTTATCAGGATGAGTTCCAAAAGAAGGAGGCCAGAATGTGCCGTGCCCAGGTGTATCTAATTCAGCAGGAGCTGAAGAGGAGGAAGAGAGAAGCTATACAGCAACAGCAGCTACTACTCCAAAGTCAGCCTAGGAGTAAATGTGCTTCTGCCCCAAATCCTGTCAGTGCAACAAATGCACAAGTTGAGGCCTAAATTTTTAATCTGTCTCAATAAGTTACTAAATTATTGGCTATATTTTGAACTCATTATTTATGATGAATAAAAATCATTGTAGCAGTCTTAACACGAATTGTGAAGCGGGGGAATTGTGAAGCGTAAACAGTGCTAAAAAGTTGGTATTTTTTTTACTGAAGAACATATCAGCTTCTCTAGTGACACTATTTAGACATTTAGATTTTGTCAGATTTATTTGTTGCTGCTTTTTACATTTTTTTAATTTGAAATAGACGCCTGCCTTTAAAAACTATCAAATACCAGTAACTGAAATCAGTTTGAATTAAGAGTTTTAAAAATCCGTTAACCAAATTTTAAATAAGTAAGTAATGGATTACAACAGAAAGGGAAATTCATTTTTTGTATTTGAATGGTAATAAATAGCTAAACCCTCCAGTACAGTGGTTTTCAACATTTTTATACAACAAAGACTCCAAGAAATCAATAATGTTCTCCCCAAACAAGGTGAAATTTAAACACTATGCACAAGCTGCTAGTCTTCTAAATTACCAATGATATCTTAATAAAGAAATACAATTTTTAGCTATTATTCAAAGTAGAATGAAAGATGTTAATTTTGATAACTTGGGCTTAACATCTTGTTATAGGTTTGTTGGGGCATTTTTTTCCTATTGTCAAGGATAATTTAAGACATTACTTTTGTTATGACTGATAAGCATCACTCCACAAGTAGCTAGTATATATGTTGAGGACACTATACATTTATTCCAGGGGCAATACACACTGTTCTATTTATTCCATTAACATTATATTGAAAAATTAAGAACACCAAAAGTTTGTTTGATTGGAAAATTATTCTTTTAAAAGATGAGAAACTATTTTATAGATTGTTTCTCATACTTTTCCTGTCCAAAACATAAATTTAATATAAGAGAATATTTTAAATGCAAAAATAATGTATTTTACAGATTAACTTAGTGCAATTGGCCTTATTTTTTTATGTATTAATATCATACATAATTGTTCATATTTTATCCCTCTATACTCCTAGGTTAACTGAATATATCTCAGTACCCATTTATCAGTATTGTGTGTGGGATATTGTGAAGTAGATGGATATTAATTTTTTCTTTCAAAAATTGTTTTTTAAATTTAGATGTGAAGTGGTGTTTGTAAATTTACAAGAAATAAAAATGTGATGTTTGAAGAATTTAATGCCAAAATTTGATATTTTTTAATTTGTAATTTTATAATTTATATGTAAATAACAGTTTAAAGATATTTTATGTAAATATGATATTTTCAATATGAAACAGAGTTGATTTACCAGAATTGATTGATATGAAATGTGCACCAGGTGGAAATTAAGCAAAATAGTTACAATAATTCCTTTGAATAATATTTTACTTAAGTTATCCATAATTACATTAAAAAAAATTGTATTAATTGTCCATCATCAGTTCTATAATACAATTATTAAACAGTAAAATAATTCATGGAACCTGTGCTTGTATATCAACTGAAATTTAATGTGATATTTTTAAATTTAATATTATAACATACATTATGAATACACTTTTCCCTCTCTTGTACTGATGTTAATGAATTAATATTTCAAATAAGAGCAAATATCTTTATCTATATTTCTCTAATAATTGTCAGAGTCTGATTTATTTAAATTGTATTGTGCCTTTGTGAAATCTGCTTCTGTAAAATAAAAATTGTAAAAAAAAATAAGTGAGTGGCTGAATGTTGTCGAAATTTTTCATGTGCAAATTTCATCAGCATTTTAAATTTTGCCTTCTTGATAACAAAACTTGGTGTTGTATAAAATCCCCTTCAATTATCGTAATGATATATTTGCCTTATATCAGACTCTTTTCTTTGTAAAAATCAAAGTGTGGATTGATAAATTTAAGTTCAAGCAATTTTTTTTAATGTTGAACAATTTTTTAAAGTACTTTTCTAAAGCTGTTAATGTATTAAAAGTTTTATTGTTAAGCATTTTTTTTTTTACTTTCAGTGTAGCATTATTGCTTTGTCTTTAAGTAATGATAACAGTACAACATATTGAGATATTGATCTATTTTTTTGGGGGGTTGTTTTTGAGAAAGAATCAGATTAGAATGGATACAGCATAAAATAATTATTGAAAGTTTATGCTGCTTGTTTGTTAGTTACTACCAAGCAGCAGAAATAAAATAAAGTGTTGAACATTTTATGGTAAAATATTTTAGTATTAGCAGGATTGTAAAACTGACTACAAGTGCCAGTTAGAATTTTTTGTTTTTGCTTAAGTTTAACAAAGTTTGGTTTGGGGTGTTGTTTATGTTGGGAAAATTTTCTTCACTTCTTATTTCTAAATCTATTTTGACAATAGTTTGTTGAATAATATATTTTTTGGTTTAATTTATGAGTTTGTCTCAAATAATTTGCAATAGTTTTACATATCATACATTAATACCATAACTATAACCACGAAACACCTTAAAATCGTTAGACATTTTTGCTTTATTGGGCTTTTTTATTTCAGGATTAGACATACATTTGAAGAGTGCTGTCTCATTGTAGAAAAGCTGCATTCAAAGCTGCTTCTCTACGGAGGTTACCAAAAAGATTCTTTAAATATATTATTATATTTATATTTTAAGCAAATTCTTAAGCAATTTAAAGATTTTGGTAATATTTCAACTAATTTTAAAAATTTCTCTATACGGTAGTGAAATTCATTATAAGGCATCACATGCATTTAAAAAAAGGCCGCAAAAAAAACAAATTTATTATTATGAGCTATCATTGAAATATTGTCCTTTTTATGAAATCCATTTTCAAATATTTAGTTTTAAATTGTACAACTATGTAGCATGTAGATAAATGTTTTCAAAAGTTCTTTGGTGTGTTCAATTTGATATCAATTTTACAATTTAGAAAAAAAAATCGATCAATAAAAACTTTTATAGTGAATAATGCTTTGTTCCCCTTCTACATCCACAACATTCCTTTCCTTGAAAATATTTGACTACAACTTAATTGAAAACAAAACATGCAGAAATTGATGTTAATTCAACAACTTAAAAAATAGTTTTGAAGTAATGACAAAAATACTTATAATTGCCATTAGCTGATCATTTTGTAAAATTCATACAAAGATACAATCTAAAATCCAATGAAAAAAAACAACAAACTTACAAGTTTGAAATTACATAATTTCTTATTTCAAAGTTGGAAAATTCAATCAATTTCTAAAAACACCCATTAGAAATGTCAATACCTGATCATTTTGTAAAATTCATACAATACAAATATACAACCTAATTACCGGTGATTTTAGAATGTAGGAGAAAAAAAAAACGGAATTATGCAATTTTTAAGTTGTAAATTTCAATCAATTTCTAAAAAGGCCCATTTAAAGACATATTAAATGTAAAAATTTATAAAGAAAAGTGGTTTTCTACAATTTCTTTACAGAGGATCAAAATACTTCTTCTCTTTAAACGAGTCCCCTAACTGCTAGTGTATTCATCATATGCACTACAGTACAGGAGGCCTGTGTCAAGTACACTGAGGGAGGCCAATCAACATTTTAGAAAGATCATATTAGACATTTTGCAAGTAAAACACATTTTTAAATGTGCTGTATTGTAATAATATTTTTTAAAGTGTTCATTTACAATGGAAGAAGCCGTAAAGTAAAAAAGTTGTATATTTTATTTCATCAACATTTAAATGGCAACAAGCACATTGAGATGGGTCTGTTAACTGCTCATTTATCTTAGTTTTTAAAAAAATAAGTTTGCTTGCATTTAAAAGGTGTGATTAAAAAACTTCATTAGACTGTAATTTTCAATTAAACTGGATGTGACAAACTAAAAATTATTTAGTGAAACAAAAATTAACTGATTGCATTAATAAGCATTATCTCGTGGATTCATAATTTTTGTTGCCTAAAAGTTTACAATAAGTCAACATGACGAATACAAATACTGACATTTTAAAAAATAAATAAATGTATATACATGTTTGAATTAATGAGGAATATTCCTCAGACCATTAGATGAAATTTTAAAAAATAATCAACAAAGCTGTTATTCCACACTTATCTAGGTAAATTGGATGAATAAGAAACTCCAGTTTCTGACTAGGTTGTTCAAAAATGGATTATGAACTGAAAGAAAAGTGTGCTTCTTTTTTTGCTTTTGAAATCAGCCTGATGGTACTAGTTGATGATATATAATTTTCATTTAATGACGCATAATAGGTTTTAATGACGCTAGTTAGTGAAGATATAGAAATATGTTTCTTTTTACATTTATTGTAGAATGGAATGTTATAATTAAAGGACTTGAAGAATTCAAAATTGTGCCCAAAAATGCACCTAACTTTTTTAAACAGGTTGATTGCAGCAATAACCCCCCAAAAAATTTTTAAAAAAATGAAAATATGACAAAAATAAATTAATATTATATAATAAAAACCACATTAATTTTTAATTCATTTAAAAAAAATTATTTTTTCTCTAATCAAATAAGAGGGAAACACAACTCTATTTACAAAAGGAGAAACAAACTTAAACAGCATAAAATAAGTAATTTATTTTACAGAAATATGGTTGGTGAAAAAGTTCTGTTGACAGTTTTCTTTATTCTTTTCCAGTGGGTAAAACAAAGGTCAACATTTCACCAGCTATTCCCCATGAAACACGATTGACTTGAAACACAGCCACCCACGCAATGATCATTGTCATCCACACCAAAGCTCCAATTAATGAGCGAATAACATCTAACAAATAGAGAAATAAGTGGAAGATATAATGCAAATAGCAAGATGGTGCTTAGTAAAAGAAGAACTATTTATTTTGTGGTATTTTGTCCTTTTCGGGTATTAGATTCCAAAGTAAACTCAATGGAAATCAACAATCTATGGAATTAAAGTTTATTTTTCTTTCATTAGTACTAGTAACTGACCCATGCCATTAGGCACTGACACAAATGAATATGTCACACAAAATGACGGTGTTCCATTTTTACATTATCTCCTTATGTGCTTGGCGTCAGTGCCTCTCTTCTTAAACCCAACCTTTTTTATCTTGAGTTCTTTACTCCCCACCTTTATGCTCTACACACATTGCTTATTTCTGCTAACACTCTGATTACATGTGCTGAATGAAGAATTTACTTAATAATTCCTTAGTGATTAACTGATGTCATCTTATCATTATTCATAACAGAATCACTTTCTAATTTTTATTGTTAGCTTCGTGTAAGTACTATTTTAGGTAGAAATTAAATTTGATTTAAAAGCGCTCTGAAAAAACTTTTTCCCAATTACCTTAAAAAATTACATGATCCTTTAAATTTAAAATATTTAAATCAACCTGGAACTTACATGTTCGAATCTGTGATTGTTCAGGATATTCGGGCTTCCTGAAAGCTTCATTGAAGAACCAAATACAGTTGATGAACCACAGAAAAGGAAGGATGAAAAATCCAGCTGCCAATAAAGAGTTACCAACAGTTAACACAAACAAGATGAACAAATACCTCCCTAGTGTTTAAATGGTGTCTCAGCAACAATTTATTAAATTAATTCAAAATTAGTTGTCATAATTTATGTTTTTGTTATAGCCAGAATGTTCACCTAAATAATACTTCCTGCAAAGAACCAACTTCTCTTCATTTTTAACTCTTTTTAGGTCCATCTTTTATTATGATGGTATCTTGACTGTGAACTCTGAAAGTCATAATTTATTTTGAAAATTATAATAGGATTAGGATGATTTAAATGTCATTAATAAAATTTCATAGGTATTGCAAGGCATTAATAGTGGCTCTTGAGAGGAGCATGACAAATATTCTATACCTAGAACTCTACTAACATGGTCATATGTAATAAATTCTCATTTTCAAGTATAAATGAGTTAATAATTTCCTCCCTTTAAAGCGGGTAAAGTAGCAACTAAAATTTTAAAATACTTAACATAGATACATGTTTATTTTAACCTTTTTTTACCCAAATACTATTTTGCAATCAGAACTGGAATAATCAGTCATACTGAGAGAGTTTTTAGAAGATTCATGTTTGAAGCTGGGTGCATCCCACTATAGTTAATAATAACTATAACGTGTCATGCTATAATACGAATATGAATATAACAGTGATGGTATGGCTACTGAAATTTGGTATATTCATTGGCATATGAGATTTTTTCTTTTAAAGTATGCAAAAATTATAAAAATATAGCCTCTCATACAACACAATTGTAAATCACTAAAAACTATTTTCATTTAAAACATGACATAAGATATTTTTATTGATCCAAATAAATGGAAATTTGTTTTTTACATTCATCGTACATATTTCCTTCAGCCCTTGAAATGTTTGTTTGTGTTTTCCGTTGTTCCTGTAACAAGACATTTGCCGTGTAAGCGTGCGGTAAGAATAACTCATGACTTCAAAAGTGAGAGCAGTCTTGGATTTTTGTTTGAACAGAGGTTTTCTTCTCCGAGATTAGGGGAATGCCTTTTGTCTGTAGTCGTTTGTCTTTGTTATGGTGGACTAGCTGACTGGACCGTCCCTATAGCCAGCCAGGTGAAACAGCCCTGTTACGCACTGACTTGTATTGGGAGAAATTAATCTCCTATTTTAATTTTAATTGGCTCGTTGTAAACAGTGCCTAACAAAGGACGATACCATATAATCAACAATATTAAAGATACGACCCAAAACAGTTTCTAGTTACAATTAAT